TCATCCCCCCACCTGAAATATTGGGGGGCGGGATATATCTGTTGCTGCTGCTGCCTACGCACATGATTCGGAATGCGAAGCCTTCAATTTCCCATGCTGCCTTCATCTTCATCATCGTCGTCGTCGTAGTGATTATGTCACATTAGTTTCATGTTCTGTATGATATGTATGATATGTATGATATGTTACAATTGCATGAATTTTGTATTTAAACACTGTTGTAAATAGCTGCTATTTTATGATATGAACAAATAAATTCCCTCGAAAGAGGATAAATAGAAAGAAAAAAAATCATCGTCGTCGTCATCGTCGTCACGATCACCGGGGACTTGTCAGAAGCTGTATTTGAAGAGTTTATCCGAGAGTTATGTCATGACACAAATAGATGGTTGCAGTTTTTATGAGCTGAAATAAACTGTAAAATTCATTTCCAGGAAACGAAAACTTAATCATCAAGTTAGGGTAAATCATTATGTTATGATAAAGATAAATATTCATGGTAATTGATGTAATATTTAAAGAAATATATTTTTGATGTACATAAGTATTGGTAATTATTGATTCCCTTTATTTTTCTTTATTTGTTAAACTTCTTCAAGGTTGACTATTTTTTTGAGGAAAAAAAAATCTATCGCATTTCTACCAAATAGTATGGGTCAGTATTTGGAATACCGAAATAAAATGGTAAAAATCAATGTTCAAGTCTGACAATGATTATTGAATCTTGACAACTGTACCCTACAGATTTTGCGATGTTTACCGAATCAAATTCCATGATTTTGGTTTCTATTGATCATGATTGTGTACGTCATTCATGTACGTCAATGAGTCTTTTATCATCCGTAAGCACCTGACCTTAAAAATATTGAACTCGAGTATTGAGCGTCCCTATGCCCTCCCCTTCTCTCTCTTTCGCCCTCTCTCTCCCTCTCTCTCTTTCGCCCTCCCTCCCTCTCTTTCGCTCGTTCTCACATTACTTTGTCAACTCTTTCTGTCTCTCGCTTTCTCTCCCTCTCTCTCTCTCTGTCACCTTTATTCATTTCACCTATTTAAAAGAAATGGAGGGGAGGGCGTGAAGGCAAACACGAAGATATAGTTAATACTACTTCTACTACTACTACTACTACTACTACTACTACTACTAGCTACATTAGTCGTATTGCGAATGATCCATCCAAGGGGATGTTCAAGACGTCTTCAAAGTACTATTATTACCTTAGCTTTAGCTCAGCTGACCTAAGGTGCTCAAAGCATTCAATGAATACATTCCTACTATATAGGTACCCATTTACTGCACCTGGACGGAGAGTGGTAAATTAATATTAACGTCTTGCCACAGAACATTACTGCCGCGGCAGGAGTGAAACTGTGAACCGTATGATCCACATTTAGGTGACATCCACTCACTTTAATATAGACCTTGGCACCTTTACATACCATTACAGTATTTGTGGTTTTATTTAGATACAAGATGAAAATGTATACATTTTGTCCGTTCTGAAACGTCTCGGTTTCAAATAATCATTAATACATATTTGTAAGCATTTCAAGACTCTATATTGTCTGGGCCGGACGCACTGGAGATCGTTGTGGCCATAGAAGAGAGAAATCATATCCCAGCTGGTCACCCGACTGTCAAAGTCGACATGGGTGACACCACAGGTTCACCAGACGGACGGCCCATGAGGCCAAAACCTTCGCTCTCGTGGACCCAATCTGATGGCGATTCCAAAGGTTCACGAGCCATTAAACACACATTGAGACCGAAGGCCCACAATAGTAGCCATAGAGGGTAAGGAGACCAACGAGGATAACCAGAAAAAAAGAGAAAAAGAAGAAAATAAAGGGAAACATGGAAAAGGGGAGCAAGGGAAAAGGAGATAGAACAAAGGGGAGAGGGGAAATACTACCTGAAAAGAAGACGGAACACCCGCCCCAACTGTAAAGTCCACTTACCTTGCATGTTGTATCGATTTAATATAGGCATAAGGCCTAAGCTATAACTCGGTGCCCTCTGGACCTATGTGTCGCCACTGCCCTTCGATACGATAATTTGGGTCTTATGGGCCTTCTGACAAAACTTTTATTTGGAAGTTTCACGAGACCGATATTCGTGGATCATTCGGTCTCCCGGGCCTCTGGGCCACTTTTATTATATGGTTACGTGATTCCACAACGTTATACTTAGATCACTAACAATTCTTGCGTCAAACATTTCCATGGGAACAGTTTTTTTAACCGCTTTGAAACACAGTCATGTATTGGTCCACCCACCTTCTTCAAATAGAACTGAAAAGAATGTTCAGGATGTTTTTGTATTTGTTTTTATTTCTTCTGACGTACGTCTGTATTGAAATTGGTGTTTGTTTTGACAATTTCTGAGTTCGTTAAGAATCAGGTTACACCATTCAAAACTTCTCCTTGTAAAACTCAACAATGAAATCATGTTTCTTTATGATTTAAATATAATTTATAGAACATCTAGAAAGCGCTTGCGTGCGTAAGTTCAGTGTTGCGTGAAGTTGATGAATACACCCCCCCCCCCCCCCCGAAATATAGTTTGCATTATCAAAATGGTGTCATGTACGTAACAACTATGCTATTTAATACATCAATGGTACAGATGTTCACCCGGGTATTCTGAGACCTAAGACTGTAATTATGAAGGGTAACATGGGTAAAGTGATATAGGTAGTGGTGGAATAAAGGAGAGGCACAACTGGCCTGTGCCCCTTCATATTCCATACCTCAGTCACACCGCCAAACCGACTTTAGGCCGACTCCAAACCGACCGATTCTTGGCCATGGACTTAAAGGTACTATGTCCCATTTGCAGGCCCAAAAAGTGAAAAGGTTAAACTCCAATGGCATTTGAAAGATAATACTAATTTAGCACTTCTGTCAAAACAAAAGGGCTTGAAAATGTCTTTTTGTGGGAAAATAACGAAGATTAGTTGTCAAAATAATCGGCAACAGTGATTGCAATCACTTAAGTAACTATTCTGATTTTCAGAACCTTGTACCGAATGGTCGCATGTTTTGTGCTGCGCAAAGACCCCATCGGTTTAATATTGGCCATTACAAGAAGTGGGTTATTGATGTAGCAAATGCTGCGTGTACCTGTTACAGCTCATTTACAGTGTATTATGTTATTAACAAAGAAAAAAAGAAGTCAGTCAGTCACTCAAAAGTGTCTGACAGTGAAGTCTATAAAGTAAACAGATTTCCTTGCATAATTTGTATACAAGGACACTGCTAATGTTTAAATTTTACAGATAGGGCATACATGACATATTCATGATTCCTGCAATGTTCTACAGAATTTGATTTTGGCTGCAAAAGGGACATGGTGTCTTTAATGTAATATTTTCGTTCGGTCTTTTGTCGGTTTGGTGTTGGTCTTTCGACCACTCCAAGGATATTGTGTCCTCCTTTTGTTTTTTAAACAAAATTCTGAACCCGCCTCTGGATAATAGACCTACGTCACCCTAGACACCTGTTGCTATGGATACCAGGGAATTACCCCACTACGTACCACTGTTTGCCTGGAACAAAGATGATGTCATTATTGACATAGTAGAAGATAAATTCTAAAAATTCAAATTGGCATAAAGAAGTGACGGTAATCAAAGGTAGGTCAAACTTTATGGTCCCTAGGCTAGCCTATACAAGTCCCTGGTAACTTTCAGAGACTGACTTGCAGTGGAATGAAGACATTTGATTCAAGCCAGATATTCAATCTGATCACGAAGAAGAGAACAAAGTATTGGAAAGAGGCAAGAAGTAGATTATGAAGACGTATTGTGAGAGACCGATAAGGAAGTTTTAATAATGTTAACTTCTAAAGTGGTGTGATTTTTAGAATAAAGTGACATTTACATGAAAATAGTATATCTAACTTGCTGTAGCGAAATTCTCAATATAATTATCCTCATGCAATATTGTTGATGACAAATTTTGCCCTTTTTTTGGGGGGGGGAGGGGCTAGAAGATTTGGGGGAGGGTCTTGATCCCCCTCCCCCACCAGCGTTTGTAGCATTGCTTGTGAAGTAGAATACAAAAAAAAACTGTCGGCGGTGACCCTTTAGTAGGGATACACTCGGGGTGATAGCAGCGGAGGCTAATTTCCCTAGAGCGTATAAAAACAGCCAGTCCTCTCGTAGCAGTCGATATCTCTATATTTTGATAACTACATGTATACCATTTATATTCACAAAGCGAACTTTTTTACGAGAGCAAATTGTATTTGAATGAGACCCAACACATTTGCAAAAGGTAGACAAGGTAGGAACAAAATGAATGGTTCGAAAATTCCAGAAGTTTTCCATTCATAAAGATCTATTGTTCGAATACAATGGTAATACTGATACAACAGTATAACAGTGTTAATGTGTGGAGCGCTAAATAGCCTCGTTCGAAGTCGCCCACTAGATTTTTTCTACCCCTCAACCCAGTCTCTTTTGGTCTTCCCAAGCTGTTTCATTAATTCTGATAAGATACCAGATAACTTGTCCTGGCTATTAAATACGTATCAGCGTAAAGCCATGATATTTTGAACTGAAGTATGTAAGATTTTCGAGAAAAGTGCCGACATGACCAGAATTTTTGATCAATTTTACAGAACGCCTAGAAATGTGGACGAGAAAATCACGTGGTCTTGTTCTGAATTTGTTCCTTTTGCTTGTCCTTTTACCAGAAGTTAATCTAGCTCAGTTAGACATGAGTCTAATAAAAAATAAAATTTAAAACAAACAGTCGGGACTTTATTTCCTTGTTCATATTTCATAGTTGAATTCATGTGAATTTCATTTACGACCCGCCTTTTCCCAATCTTCCTTTATTTAAATAGCAGCAGTCTGGCACAAAAACCTACAACTGTATACAAGTGACGTCAAACAAAGCTAATTACGTCACCTCTGCGAACGAAGCGGAAAACTTTTAGGAAATTTACGTTTGGTAAAAACTCGCCAAATTATTAGTTATCAGATCGCAAGAAGGTGTAGTTGGAAGAACACGTATTTACAAATCAATGTCACAGTGACTCATAGTAGGCCTAACATTAATTTAGTCATAGGGTAAATAGTAAACAAACAACATCTTCTCTTCTGGAAGAAACTGGTCACCCCCTTAACTCCGGGCCTTAACTTTTATCATGGATAAAGTATTAATTTGTGTTCTTTTGTGCGTGGGCTTGGGCGTAAATCACGTCCTCGCCTCGGTGTTCGCGGACCGCTTCGCCGCCGGAGGAGGAGGCCAGGCACGTGTCCCCGAGAAGGAGCCGGTACCCGAGTACCTCCAAGCGGTGGTCAGCTGCAAGTTGGGCGAGCCTCATCGACAATATCCAGAGTGCCGGTGTGGAGAACGAGTTGAGATCGTGCCAGAGGTCGAGATACCACTCGAAAGCTTGGGAGACTATCACGTCAGAGTTAAGCCCACTCACAAAGGCACGAGACACATGTAAGTTGTAGGCCTAGACCTTTCGTTATGTTTTGTTGCCTGACATTGATAAAATGGATTGCGTTTCGGTTTTAAAGAATCGATCGCACCTTTCTAGCATGAAATCGTTATTCATATTTTTCAAGGTAAGGATATGATATTGTAGGTGTTGCAGTGAAGCTTCATCGGTTCTGTTTGGAAGATTTGATATTGTTGATTCATAATTCCACATTCTTTTTTTTTCTCTATCATTGCCTTTTTAAATCAGGGGAAAAAACAATCCTGCACACCAATTTACCACACTGTGAACATTTTATGATGTTGGCTTTAAGTTTAAACTATTTTGGCAAATTGCTCACACTGTGTCTTCACGCCAGTTGCTTTAAAAGTATTCCAAGTACTCTTTGTCAAAACCTAATGTGTATATCTCACTGTACAGTGAGATTGTATTTATGGCATCAATGTGTTTTCCACTGTGTGACTGGGTGTAAGGATGTGATAGTGTGAAAATGGTGTGTTTACATTATGGAAGTGTTCCCAGTGTGTGACAATGTATGGCCACAGAGGGAATCACAGTGGGAGTACATCAACGTGTGAACACAGAGATTATTTGCAACACTTTCACAACGCTGGCAATGTTAAAATAACGAATTCAAACTGTACATGGCCAACTGTGGTCTATACACTACTGACACTGTGTGATTATATTGTTAACTTAACAAAAATGTTCACAGTATTTTAACACCTTAATTGTTTGACATTATGTGGTCACATAGGAAACTGCAGTACAATGTCTCCACAGTGACAATTTACAACACTTTCACAGTATTGACAATGTTAAGACACTGTGTCCACACTGTAGGACATATTTATTACAGCAGATTCTATAAATCACAAACGTAGAATACATGAATGAACTTTTTATCATCTGGATCACAAAATAATCTGAAGAGAGGAAAGGAGATTTCATGTTCACAAAGAACCAAAGTTGTTATAAATTTGTGTCACATTGAGCAAAACTTGCATTTTTAAAATGTTCATAATAAACAACTTATTTTCTATACCTTTGACCTAAAGAGTAGACTGCTATTGTGTGGGCCTAAAAGCAGGTCCAATGTTTTGTAAAATAGATTGTAAACCCTCAATTTACTCATGAAACACTATTCACCAAGTCTGAGGGCCTGGTTTGAGATATCAAAAGTTATGTTAAATTTAACGGAAGCCACAGCCAATACAATTAAAAAGAAACTATTTGCAAAGAACAGATTTGCGTACATTGATTTGCGTCAGACCGGTGTATCAACAATGGCGATAAGATACTGACAAAAAGATGAATGAATGAACTTTGAAACTCAGGTGACTCTCGACCTGGAACGAAACGATAGCAGTATGATTTATCAATAGCTTTACAAATATATAACTTATAAGAAATAGTCTGTCGTATTCAGACACATTTACAATTTGAGTTGTGTCCATAATCATGATGGTTTTACCCTGTCAGCTACTCTCAACCCAAAAGTAGGACCTGTATACTTGGACAAACTTTATTCATTCAATTATGACGATGAATTTAAAGCTTTTAAGCTGACGTATCAAATTAACAACAACAACCAAAAACAAATATATTGCATGGAAAAATATTCGTGTAGCAATGGGCTTTTTTTTTTCTTATCAAGTTTTCCTGCTCAGATGTAATTAATAGTATTACAATGGTTTCAAAGTTACCTTTCAAATCGATCGCAAGTCTTATGCCACAAGGAAATAATATCAAGTAGGAGAAGGATAACATATCATGGTGTCACTCAAGGTTCAGTCCTCGGGCCCATTTTGTTTTTGTTATATTAATGATATACCATCTTCTACTAAATATTTTGAATTTAGATTATTTGCTGATAATTCAAATCTATTTCATACTTTTGATAAAAGACAGAAAGAAATTAATATGAATGAGGTAAATATAAAATTTGTGGAAGTCCAAAAATGGTGTTTTGTTAACAAGTTGACAATGAACTTAAAGAAAACAAACTCTATGCTCATAAAGAGACAAAGGCAATTATGTGAAATTAGGGGTATATTGAAACTCAGTGATAAAGTGATAGAGTCAGTTTATCATTTTCGTAGGAATTACAATCGATGAAACCTTGATGTATTAACTGTTTAATTGTTGTTATTTTGTTCCCACTTGAATACATTTGTAACATTGTGTTATGTTGTTAATAAATTCAAATTCAATTAAAAAACTTCAATGGAAACAGCAAATGTATTAATGCTCATGTCTTTGCACCTTTTTTGCAACTATAAACTGATCAACTCCTGATTTGATAGACTGTTCCAAAAACTACTTTAACACTGTTCATTCGGTAATATCTATTGATAGAATGCTATACCATAAACATGTACTACTATTTGCTTTTCCATTGTGTGGATAGGTATAATCACGGTATCATTGACGTCAAATGACGTAGGTAAATCTTTATGTTTGCTTCATGTTGGGATTTTTTAATCTGACATGCTATAATCTGGGATCTATAGAACAAAGTGCTGAAGTTGCTGAAATATGATAAGCCATAATATAAGATAGAACCACACCCTTAGATCTTAATATGGGTCAAACTCGTGTCAAATTCGTCGAATGCCTTATTTGGAAGTACTACAATAACTATCATTAACTTTGTAGTTCGTTCTATTATTTTATTTTCATTACAAACATCTTAAAATATACAAGAAAATCAATGATTTGAATTATCAAATTGAAGTTGCCATAGAGTTTCGATTGTTTGTTTGTGTTATTCTTGGTGTTGCACGGTTGTGCATTGAGCACCCCTCTCCTCTGTTCTTTGAATAGAAAGTGTACATCTCCATGTCGAGAGAAAAGAAAGGAACAAAACTTTGGAACCAAAATTTTCGCTCACATTTATCTTTTTAACTATGTAAGTTTTTTTTTAAACAAAATTATGGCGTGACGCCTGCTTGACAACTATTGTTCACTGCGTGGTCTTGCCAGAATAATTATTGTTGGAAATGCTCCACTGAATATGAATAAAGGTTACCTTGACAATGACTACAAGTACCAACGTCACTGGTTTTACATCCTGCATATTCTAAATTCATTTGAAATGTATTTTCTAGGCCTGGGTTCTCGGCTAACAGAACAAATGGATTTCCAGGGAAACTTATGACGCCTGATCTTTCCATTATTTACGCCTTAAAAGGGCTTAGAACATCGGTCAAGTTCATAAATAGATTAAAAGAACGACACAAGTCAATAGTGAGATCTGATTGAACAATGCTCTTTAGCTATAAACATAGGTCATCGTAGTTAAATCCAATAGCGACAGCGATTACGTAGTGCAAAACTTCAAAAACTGTCACCTTTCTTTCTAATCCAGATCATAATTGCGTCAATGGCTCTGTTGAATTACATTATTTTGAAGATAAAATATTCAAACTTGATCAAAATCATGAACATTGATATGAAACAAATTATAATATTATGGTAATTTATGATCACAAATAACAAATTCGTCACACCCTTATACTAAACCAATAACTTAAACACCCTTTTAACTATGAACTGCATGTAAATGGATCTATGCTTCTTCCGAACTGTTTAATTGACCTGGGGTCGATGGTTTCATTTCCGGCATTCAAGTTCATAGTAATTACAACCATCTGTGGGCGTCATGACAAACCCCGTTTTTATATTCTTTGTACTGTAGTAAACGTCAGCTTCTGACAAGTTCCCTTTAGTTCCCTTGTTGTAGAATTTCCTGTTCCTTGTTTAAGTTCGCGGAAGAAATTAAAGGCTTCACATTCAGAGTCATTCGCACAAAATACACGTAAATTTTACCTTTTTTTGGAGATGCCCCCCCCCCCCCTGGCGCACGATATTCAAATTTCAGCACACTAAATTTCAAATTGATTTCAAATTTGGCCCCCCTCCCTAAGACATCCTGGATCCGCACCAGGCGCGGATCCACGTGGCGATTTTCCCTACCTGCCCCCCATCTAGCCCCAAAAACTGTTTTTAAAAAATAGGATAATAACGTAAATTTAACCTTTTTTTTTAAACAAAAACAAAAGCGGCCCCCCCCCCCAAGAAGAACAACTAATTTTGTTTTCGCCCACACCAAAAAAAATATTAGTCGTTCTTCTTTCCATCACCCCCCCCCCCACCTCCAGTGTATTCACCTGCTGGATGAATCGCTGCTAAATGGGGGGGGGGGGGGGGGGGGGGGGGGGGGGGGGGGGGGGTAAGAGGACACTTTTTTTTTTTTTTTTTTGGTCTCGAAATTTGAAAATTTGACATTTTGCTCCGTTGGGGGGGGGGGGGTAAGGTCAGCTTTTTTAGGTCAGCCATGGGAATTTTTTTTTTTTTTTTTTTTTTTTTTTTAAATAAAAAAAAAAAAAAAATGCAAAGGGGGGGGGGGTTTACACACAGAAAAATACCAAAGGGGGAGGTTTAACCCCCCAACCCCCCCCCCCCCCTGTGTACGCGCCTGGGTACAACACAGTGTGGTACTTGAGACGAAGATGACTAATTGGAGGGTACAAAACAGTGTGGTACTTGTGACGAAGATTACTAATTTGAGGGTACAAAACAGTGTGGTACTTGAGACGAAGATGACTAATTGGAGGGTACAACACAATGAGGTACTTGTGACGAAGATGATTAATTGGAGGGTACAACACAGTGTTGTACTTGTGACGAAGATGACTAATAGGAGGGTACAAAACAGTGTGGTACTTGAGACGAAGATGACTAATTGGAGGGTACAAAACAGTGTGGTACTTGTGACGAAGATGACTAATTGGAGGGTAGAACACAGTGTGGTACTTGTGACGAAGATGACTAATTGGAGGGGACAAAACAGTGTGGTACTTGTGACGAAGATGACTAATTGGAGGGTACAACACAGTGTGGTACTTGTGACGAAGATGACTAATTGGAGGGTACAAAACAGTGTGGTACTTGAGACGAAGATGACTAATTGGAGGGTACAACACAGTGAGGTACTTGTGACGAAGATGATTAATTGGAGGGTACAACACAGTGTTGTACTTGTGACGAAGATGACTAATAGGAGGGTACAAAACAGTGTGGTACTTGAGACGAAGATGACTAATTGGAGGGTACAAAACAGTGTGGTACTTGTGACGAAGATGACTAATTGGAGGGTAGAACACAGTGTGGTACTTGTGACGAAGATGACTAATTGGAGGGGACAAAACAGTGTGGTACTTGTGACGAAGATGACTAATTGGAGGGTACAACACAGTGTGGTACTTGTGACGAAGATGACTAATTGGAGGGTACAAAACAGTGTGGTACTTGAGACGAAGATGACTAATTGGAGGGTACAACACAATGAGGTACTTGTGACGAAGATGATTAATTGGAGGGTACAACACAGTGTTGTACTTGTGACGAAGATGACTAATAGGAGGGTACAAAACAGTGTGGTACTTGAGACGAAGATGACTAATTGGAGGGTACAAAACAGTGTGGTACTTGTGACGAAGATGACTAATTGGAGGGTAGAACACAGTGTGGTACTTGTGACGAAGATGACTAATTGGAGGGGACAAAACAGTGTGGTACTTGTGACGAAGATGACTAATTGGAGGGTACAACACAGTGTGGTACTTGTGACGAAGATGACTAATTGGAGGGTACAAAACAGTGTGGTACTTGAGACGAAGATGACTAATTGGAGGGTACAACACAATGAGGTACTTGTGACGAAGATGATTAATTGGAGGGTACAACACAGTGTTGTACTTGTGACGAAGATGACTAATAGGAGGGTACAAAACAGTGTGGTACTTGAGACGAAGATGACTAATTGGAGGGTACAAAACAGTGTGGTACTTGTGACGAAGATGACTAATTGGAGGGTAGAACACAGTGTGGTACTTGTGACGAAGATGACTAATTGGAGGGGACAAAACAGTGTGGTACTTGTGACGAAGATGACTAATTGGAGGGTACAACACAGTGTGGTACTTGTGACGAAGATGACTAATTGGAGGGTACAAAACAGTGTGGTACTTGAGACGAAGATGACTAATTGGAGGGTACAACACAATGAGGTACTTGAGACGAAGATGACTAATGACTCACTTAGGTGGACAAACGCGCTGTAAAAACGTGATAACAGAGATATTAGTTTCTTCATTTGACACATATTCACATGTACAAAACTATGTGCGAAGTGTGACTATACAATTGGCGTCTTTTTAAAACCATTTAATTATAGGGTTTACAGAGAAGACATTCTCAAAGGTTATGACAGTTTTAAAAGCAATGACGTTCATGTATGGTGAGCTACGGAGATATAAACTCAACCAGAGTAAAAATAGTTGAACCAGAATTTTTTTTAAATGGTATTAATTGTCGTTTAAAAAACTAATTTATAATGACAATGATGACTAGATTGCGAGAGTGTTATTAGGTAGTATATAACTTTATTTCAAGAGCGTAAAACTTAATACACTGAAAAGAAAACTGCATGTACTACATTACTTCAAGAATTTCCTTTCTGATCATTCATGCAACAACAGAAGCATCCAATTTGCATTTATTGTGAACTCCCTTCGAATGGTCTATCTTATCTTTTTCATTTTTCTTTCTTTATCTTAATACAGCTACTACCACTGCCTGTTCTGTAGCCAGTGCCTCGATGGCGTTCGCACCCTGTCTAATTGTTCTAGAATGATAGATACTCAATGCACAACATCTTGTATTAAAGCAACCGATATCTTTGACAAGGGTAGAAAGGCCTGTGTCCCAGACCCGCGATTCAAGGAAGATACAACGAAATCGGCTGATCAAACAAGTAAGACACTTTCTTTTTCTTTTATATAAGTCGTAAGAAATCAATGAATAGATTAAAAGAGAATAAACGTAAGCGAAATGTTTTCCAGAAAGAACAAATCTAGCAAAACCATCCTCGTAACTCCCGATATTGGATTATTTGACAGCCACAAGGTAAATGAAGAAAAGTTGTAAGGAAACATAACCTCGTAGATCCTACCTTGCCTGATTTTATAGGCCTAGTTTTATCCTAATACTGCAAAGAAAGGTTACTTGATCTTGGATTTGTCACACACACACACACACACACACACACAAGTGACACAACAACAACAACAAAATCTTTGAAAAAATCCGGACCAAAATAAATAGTTTATTGTATTTCTTGTCATCCCAATTCATGAGGAAGAAAAAAAATCCACGTTGATGCCCGTTTTCAATTCCACTTTTTTAAAACCGTGGATGAATAATTAGCGGGGGCAATACAACCCAGTTTTACAGGTATACGAAAGGATATGATTAATTGACACTAATTTCAATGTGTTGTAATATGCGTTTTGCATTATTTCGTTTTCCAGATTTAGTGGATGAAGGTGGAGTACAGACAGAGGGAGAAAGGACGAATAAACCATCGTCGATGCAAAATTCAGGTAAGGATTACTATAAACACCAAGCTTGTGGATTTTTGGTTGATATGATCGTGTACTGGCCTACTTTAATACCAAATCCAATGAAAGATGAAGAAAACAGCTTTAAAAGTGGTAAAGAATTGGAGCAAGTATATGAAAATAGTTAAAGACAGAGAGAGAGAGAGAGAGAGAGAGAGAGTAGAGCGCCTGAACAACAAAATGGTCACCATTTCATGCAACTGTCACAAGTTTATGCCAACAAGTTCGCTTACATCCCGATGAAAGGAGTGATAATATTGAAAAATACGCTTTTTATTGAGATTTTGTCGAACTTCAGTTGGTTTCGTGAAAAAGTTTCCCATAAACAGTGTATTTATTTCAATGGTGTGGGTCCGTATCCCACTGCTGCCATCACGTCATTGGCAAATGATTGGAGCAGAAGCTGGGCATCGGATTTGGTTATCATTTTCACTGCTGTGTAATGACCAAAATTTAAACAAATTCCATCGTCTAAAGGTTGGCTTATTACATGTCAGGGCGGAAAAATGGCTAGGCAAAAAGAAGAAAAAGGGTAAAATGGAAAAGATAGAGGAGGGAGTTCGAATGTGGGAGGCGAGAGGAGAGTGAGAAGACAAAAAGGTAGAGCAAAATGGAGAAAGGGGATTTCAAAGGGGGTAGAAATAAAAGGAGAAGAGAGAAACAGAAACAAAAAGGACAGGAAGGTATAAAATTGGAAATACATAGAAAGGAAAAGTCGAAAAATGGAAGAAAAAGTGAAAGGATGGAGGGAGGGAAAATAACATGTACGTGTGTGATTAGACATTAGAGGTGTCTGTCTCGAGAGAAAAGTACTACATTCCATTGATTAATTATCATATCTGTATTTCAGACTACCCTGTGCATATAGACTGCAAAAACAATTGTATCTAAACCAAATAAACTTTTCCATTTTGTGCACAGACAATCACAATCCGAATGGTTCCTCCGGCAAATTGCTGTTCCTCGCTGACGACAAATACCTCCTGATCGTAGGCGGGGCCCTCGTCGTCGCCGTAGTCATTGTCCTGATTGTCAACATTTTCATCTGCAAGTACTTCTACCATAAAAAAAAGCGCGACCAGGAAAAAGATCAGGAAAAAGAGAAAATGCTGCCGTCGGCATCGAATAACCCTGTGATCGATGTGTGAAGGTAACGATGATCAGTCCTTGTTTTCACGAAGTGACGGTAGTGAGGAAAATCGTAACGCAAAGTGAATGCAATTTTTTTTCACTACCGTCACTTCGTGAAAACAGCGACGCTGTCGTCTTCACAAACCAACTTGATCTTGCCATTATCCTGCCTCTAGAGATGCTGCGATTGATAGGACCATTTCGGGACAGAATGAAACAGATACATGAAAAGGATGCTCCGACATCTGTTTTTTTTATATTTCGTAAAAAGTATAGTGTTAGGGTGACGGTTGCAACTAGGTTTTTAGTTTAGGATTAAGTTAGGGTTAGTTATAATCTTTGATTCAGGTTTAAAGTTAGAGTTGGGTTAGTGTTGGAAATCGCCGCGGGGCAATTGTTACAGGAGTCAGTGTCGTGGAAGCAGATAACCGAGAAGAGAGCGTTACACCATATAGTTTGGAGCGTACTTTTTAGTTTAGGATATAAAGATAATAAATGTATTTAACCTCTTGTTGGAGTCGATCTAGCAATGACACGGAAAGCAAGATAATTACAAAAGTAAGAGATGAAGACAAGGCCCAAATAGATATTTCTTAAAGGGTTGTCAAATTAAGGATTAATCTGTTTTCTACTTGATTTTCCCGTCTTAGAAATGTAAACAATAAAGACAATTTTATTCAAAACCCTCCTCATTAAATACCACAAAAATCTTTCTGATTTCTTATAGTAATCCTTATTGTATAGTTTAACTTACGCATGATTAGATTCATGCACCACTTCATTCAACACAAATCATTTGATCTAGAGATTTTAAGAGGTACCTTTAAACCAAATAGAAGTTGTCATTGAAAAGAAATGAAAGAACCCATTTATTGGGATGTGAGATATCATTCTCCATGTGGTTCACCCTGCTTGAACTATCGTCAAACTGACGTATTCAGTAACATGTTCGTTTTAAACCGTTTTTTTGTTGTTGTTATTGTTCCACATCCCACGTAACAAGATTGCATCATATTTAAGTTTCAACAAGAGAATGCAATAAGAAAACAACGATAGATATAAAACTTAGAGAAATAATAATGTGAATAATGTGAAATATGGGGAACATAATGGTTCCCGAATAAAATGCAAACAATATTGTAACTGAATTCGAAAGCAATAAAGAAAGACGTAAAGAACAAGTTTGAGTCACTGACACATAACAAGTAAACAAAAAAGTAATACATTTTTATAGGGTTTCATTAGGAATTATTTTCTTTTCCCGAACGAATTGATCTTTTTTTTGGACAAGCTGAAATATTTATGTTTTGCAAATTTATCCGAAATGATCAACAATGAGGTGTTTATTTCACATGTTGTGTTTTGGCTCGAAAACTATTTATCAAGACCGTCGCTAAGAGCCCTACAAAATATATCAGATGCATGGATATTAAGAGCAAAGAATTGGTGCACAATGCATTCACTTTTCTTGATGCCTGGAATTTTACAGAGGAAAATGTGCTTCAAATTCCCTAAAGCGGCAACACGTACATTTAGAGGTTCAAAATCATTATTTTCGATCAAAATGTGTTATTTTAACAACTTTTTTTTACTACGTTCCCACGCCTAGATATTGCGGCTTTGAGAGACATTGTATTTTATTAGACCAATGTAGTGAGAACTCAAAATTGTTATTGTTGCCAATTTGAAGAAAAACATGTGATCAATTCAGCCTTTAAAATAAATCCTGTCCTGAAATGGTTAAGGAAGGATGTAGATGGCGACTGTGTGCAATAAATATTTGTATCATAATACGAGTACTATATAGCTAATGATGAAATCATGAAAATGATGAAAATACTTCTAAAACTCATTTTATATATAAGTGGCTGGAATCCACCTACTTGATAATGCAATTTTCAATCTTTCAGCTCGGACTTTTGTCAATGCTACGTCGATCAGCAGCTAATCTGATTCTTGTACCCCAAACAATCAATCGGCATACAAAATTAAGATAATGAACAATTAAGTAGGTTTTATTTGCTTTAACAAATAATTTGATCTCATTTGTATAGGCCTGATTTTGTAAAACGCGACTAGAAACAGTAAAATATACTAACATGAATAAATCTTTATATCGTACTTGAATGCTCGACACAACAAATTGAGTCGCGGCGGATTATAAATGTAGCGGTTAATATTGTTAGGTCGTAAAGATACTATGCAAGGAAACCCGTTTACTTGCTAGACTTCACTGTCAGACACTATTGAGTGACTGACTGGCTTTTTTTCTTTTTTGGTAATAACATACATAAAATGAGCTGTAAAGCGTACATGAGCATTTGTACATCAATAACCCACTTCTTGTAATGGCCAAAATTAAACTTATTGAATATTTGCGCAGCATAAAACGTACGACCATTCGGTATAATATTCTGAAAATCAAGACTATTACTTATTGGCTCTATAGCTCCTAAGTCGATTCAACAACTAATAGTTATTATTTTCCCACTTAAAGACATTTTCAAGCCCCCCCCCCCTTTTTTTTTCAGGGAAGTCCTAATTTAAATGCCGTTGAAATTTAACCTTTTCATTTTTTTGGCCTGCAAATGGGACATAGTACCTTTAATGTAGCAAAATATAAAGAATTGCTAATACGCAAAGAGCTGGACTCAACGAATTTACATCATTAGTAGGCCTATTTAATAACTAGTAAAAGTCATACGAGTATTAATAACAAATATTGTAATATGGACATGCACAAAGGCATGTGTAATAGTTTCTACGTTATTTATAATTATTCTAAATACGATATTTATTGAATTAATTTTGCATCATAAAAATTCGTCATTCCACCATTGTGCTTCCAATATATTTAACTATGCGGTTACTATAACAGTAAGGTCGTTATTGTAAAGCGTATTCTGTTTTTGTTTAAATATTTTATATTACTTATATTTGATTTTTCTTCATGTCTGTATTTAAGGGCTGGCCCGATAAGCTTTTATTTATGTGAAGTGGATATGTATATTATATATATTAAATTGCTGGTCAGTTTTGCAATCTGGACAATAAGTGCGGCGTTGTATTTATATGTTTCATTGTGATTTCGTACATTTAGACTATAAATTCTCATTCATGATTTTGGTCCCAAATATGATAATAGATAGATGAATAAATTGGAACAATTTACCTCATGCATACTATCAATATGTTGTTGTTCTTTATAATGTCATTGGAAAGAACAAACAACCCTCCACCCCCCCCCCCCCCCACTTCCCTTTATTATACATTTCGATAAAAAAAAATCTTCAAGTTCTTTGCTCTCTCTCTCTTTCTCTCGCTCATTCCATCTCTCTCACCATGGATCTATACTATTTTCTCTCTTTCAACCCCCTCCTCTATCTTTCTCTCTCTCTCTCTCTCTCTCTCTCTCTCTCTACACCCCTTCATTCTCTAGATATATGTCAGTCTCTCCCCTTCATATTCTCCTACCTCCGAGTATGTGCTTATAAAAAGAGGCAAAAGGAAAGAGTGAAAGATAGAGAGAAGGGGGAGATGGGGAGCGACAGATATATATATCATAGAGAGAGAGAAAGAGAGAGAGAGAGAGAGAGAGGGGGGGAGACAGAGAGAGGTGGGGGCAATGTATATATATATATATACATAGAGAGAGAGAGAGAGAGAGAGAGAGAGAGAGAGAGAGAGAGAGAGATAAAGAGAGATTGAGATTTGGAGAAGAAAAAACAGAAAGACGGACATAACCCGAAATATGGTTCCCAACACAAGTTTATAAATATTATTAATACATACAAAACAAAGCATATTCAAACATCTATAATACTAATCAATTTATATTTCGACAATGTTGTAAAATTATATAGCACTACCCCTATTATTCTCTGCTACTATTGGAAGACCTTTGTAACTGAACCTGTTTTTATTGGCAGTTCCATATTTTTCAATAAACGTAATGACAATTTCATGTACTTGTCTTTACATTATTATTGCATTTTAAAGAATGATTGCACATAACTGTTGGATCGTCATTCAAGTAACTGAATGTACCCCATAACACTCTAAGGAATCTGTTTGGGGGGTACATGCTTGATCATTGGTAAATGAATTTATCAATATCCAACAGTAATCACTGATATAGTTGTATCCTCTTCAATAACTTATTCATTTGAAGTTGTCACAAAAGAGAATAACTCTACAGGATAGCCTTACTTTCGAAAAAGGGGGGGGGGGGGTAGATGGAAGTCCATTTGATATCACTGCTATCATTTCAACTTTGTTGTTTAACGAATAGCCTGATGCAAACAAATGTGGTTAATTTAGAGATAAACATCATTTAAATTATAATTACAGATACAGTTTAATTGGGTTTATATAATTACGGGAAAGGTGAAATAAATTGCCTAGACACATGTATAGGTACGTCTAATGATATGCTACATGAACATATACATTTGGTCAGCCAAGTAAATAATTCCTCTAAAATAAATTAGTACAATTACATGGAAAATGTACATGTATGAAAGTGCAAATATATTGTAAGTACATTACCAGATTATAAAAAATACAATGTTTTGAACACAAAACTAACCTGTTCAGATTCTAATATTATGTCATATTAGTTGCAAATCAATACAAAATTCCTATTTCTCATTTAAGTCACTTTTGGCACTTCTTTTATACATATTTGGGTTGACATATGATACATTAAGGCCATGAATAATATAAATATCAAAGATTCGAAATGACATGAATCATCATTCACTAAAAGTTTTGCAAGGATCAAACCAAGTAAACAAGCGATGGGATTATCTTCCATTGATGGAAATTATTAGATAATTATGGCATGTTTTATGCCATACTTTCTGAATGTAGTTCCCATACATTTTTTTTTAATTAAATGGTCTAAATACATAACTTCAACTCCTCTTTTGACATATCTCTTAATAATAACTTTGCCAGAAATCTTCCATCCAAAACCTTTTTTTTGTAATACCAATTCAAATATACTATTACTGTACAATGCAGAAAACATGCTCAACTAGATACATGGCTATATGCATCTTTGCTGACGACAAGAACATACCTGTAGGTCAAATCAAAGTTTTCAAGTATTGCAATGCTTTTTGTAAATTCTCCTGCATATACATTTTTAACTGAAGTCTCTATAGGATAATAATTTATAAGTGGGTGTGACATTTGACATCACTAACAAAATGATGTGACATCACTTTGATTACTGATAATAACGTCTCTATGCGCTTTCAAAGAGCTTTGGAAATTATTACCCAAGCTTTAGCTCCGGCAGCCGGAGTAATAATAATAATAATCCTACCAGGTACCTATTTATCTCACCTGGGTTGAATGTGGCAAAAGTAGATTAATGTCTTCCCAAAGGACATCAGTGCTGCGGCGGGACTCAAACCGCGGACCTCGTGATCAACAGTCCGGTGACATATCCATTCGACCATGACACCTCTACTGTTGCAATAAAAACCGGCCAAAGTCTATGAAGAAGATGTGATCGCCCATAAGGTCCCGGGTTCGAAACTAAGTCATTGCCTTAGTGCTCTTTGGCAAGGCATTAATCCACTTTACCACGGCAAGTCCCTCGGAGAGTACATAAAGCTGTCGGTCCCCTGGTTGCTTACTTACAAGCATACACATGCTTTCTCAACATTCAGGCAAAACTAACCATCAAACTACAGCAAAGTTTGAACACATTTTATGACTAGAAACATAAGAACAAAAAATACATTTTATCTAAGAATAAATAGCACCTTGTATGAAAATTCAAAAATGCATAAAATTACAGTAAAACAATATCCATTGGTCACTCAAAACACCTACACACTGTGCTAACCGTGCATTATGATAGGAGTATAAATAAATACATGTATACAAATGTTAAAGACCCTATCAGAAGTAAAAAATGAGACAGATGAATCATAGATAGATAAATATATCAACGGAAAGCGTATAAGCCATAGATTACAATAATATTGATTACAAATGTATATGCTAATTAGTTTTCTGTCAGAGGAGTTACTGCTCACTGAAAAATCGAAATCTAAAGCTTTGAAAATCGAGAGTTGTCAACCTAAAAGCTAGCAATCGACTTGATGACATCATCTTACGTGGAGTACGCATATTCACAATAACTTTGTATTAATTAAGCAAGGCTAATCGCTTCAGCTATATGGGTGAGCGGACCGGGTTCACATCTTATTCTAATTGGCTTTTGTGCAATACTGGAAGTGACAATATTTTTGATTGTTTTATATTGTATTTGTATTCTACGTTCATTCAGCTTTCCATTGATATAAAGTTGTATTTTCATTGGATAGGGTCCTAAGTGTAATGCTCTAAAATAAATATATATAATAGATTAAGCTAAGTAAGTGTCATTTACATACGGTATACCTCATCTGATTCTATTATGCATTATTACAATTTTAAAAGACAAAATGCTTCCTCTTGCCAAGACCTTTTATTAAGGTGTCAGCCTGCCCTCAAAAAAGATGTGCCTAAAATTACGTCCAAAAGGGGATACGATGAGCCCATCTAATGGAAAGATTCCAAAAGTGTAATGGTACTTGTAATTCCTTCTTTCTTTTTTCTCCATGACCAGTACATGTAAATCATTACAGCTTAAACAATCAAAATTCTATGAACAGTCCCAACTTCACATATATTTAATAACAAAGACATTGCCGTGCTCGGTATCAAAATAACCCGTTCATATAATAGGAACTAAAATTCACCGTACGTGACAAGGTAAAGTCAGTGAATAAGTATTGAGGCCTGCTCGGTCATTATAAAACCACTTTCAAGAAAATTGCTGACTTAGAAATATTTCAAACTCATGATGTTAGCATGCAAATGTAGATCTTTAAAAACTATTTGTAAGACTTAAAACATTATCCTGTAAGTACTGTGCTTGTTCTGATCATCCGTATGTATTTGGACCATAAAAATATAATATATTGCTTTTAATTCCTAAGATCTACATTCATATATAGTTGCCTAGACACCAAATTCAATAAACTAACAATTCTGAATTACAAATTGTTTTATTCTCCCCCGTATCTTTAATTTAAAAAGAATATTTCAAATAGGAAACACGAGTACAGTTAGCTCTAACTTTCCTTCGGTTCTGGTTTGAGATGTGCCGGAACATACCGCCAAATCTGTAGGAGGTACAAACAAAATGAAAAAGAAAACACAAAATATTGGATAATACATTCTTTTGTACTGTACATGGTCTTTTCAGTATACTTGGGTAGCAGTTTATAAATGTGGAATTTAATACATGTAGGTAGATTATACTCCAAACCTTTAAATTGCATATCTTTTACACTCCAGCTCTGATTAATTAATTGTTCCATGTGTAAACATCTTCAAACTTCAAAACATGTTTGATAAGAATGTTTTTTTTTATGATTCTTATAATACTGCAGTAGCAATATATAATAGGATACCGAAATGCTAACGTCATATTTGCTTGTCGTCTCGGCTACTGGTTCCAATAAACAGAGCCTGTGCATGAGGTTCACCTCGACATCATTCAAGCAACGGGCTGGGGCAGGGCAAAAACAATTTTTGGTGCTGATGTGATCACAACGCCATTAGGGACTTTTAGATTTGCACGACGAGAACGTGGACTGCGACGTGTGACATCCTTTTAAGGCAATGTGACGTCCTTTTAAGGCACTGGCAATGACGTCAAATTGCCTTAAAAGGATGTCACACGAGCAGTCCATGTTTTCGTCGTGCAAATCTAAAAGTCCCTATTGTTTCGCACCAGCTATCTATCACACTTCTGTACTCTATCCTGGACATGTATATCATTTTACTCATTATTGTTTTTAGTTTATGGTCAGTGAGTTGACATTCAATTCATTGCAAGGCATTATTTCATAATGTGGTTGGATTTGAATCTGATTCAACAGTAAGTCTGCCAATCAATCGCAAGTTTGCAGTCTCCTATCTCTTATGTACATAGCTGCATTTGATATCAATCAAAAATAAGTTGTGATTAATCGCAACTGTTTAAAAGACGGGGCCCAGATCTTCTACCCCAGTCTTGCCTTAATGGTTTGGGGCAAGCATTAAAAAAAAAAAAAATTTAAATTTAAAAAAATCAACAAAAAAATATCAAAAAACAAAAATCAAAAATCACAAATTTTCTTTACCTAGTAGCTTTTGTTTCTTAAAGGTATAGACCAGTTCTGGTCATGCGATTCCATTGTGAAAGAAACATTTTGGAATCGATCAGAAAAGGTTGATCATCTAGTATGGAAGTATTAGTGTGTACTGCAAGCTAGGTTCTGGAATCATCAAAATGATAACAAAATTTGGCCCAGTCTTGGTAAAGTTACAAGCACTGTACACAGACAGATGTATATGGGACTACCCTATATCTATCTAGTCCGGATAGATATAATAATTTACCAAATATATCAATTAGTAGGCGGTTTCCCTGCAAAATTTGTATCATCATGTATTAGTGAAAACATAGTCTTTCACATGATTGGTAATAACAGCTTCCATTTCATTTTTTGAGAGGGGGGGGGGGCGTTTCCAAAACTGGTCTTTACCTTTAAATCTCAATGACATATTGTGGCTCGTCTTCTGCCATCTGGTATTTTTGTCAGACCCATACAGAAAAAGGAATATTTGCTCCTCTATTTCTCATGCAGGGATCGAGTTCATATTCTTCTGGTAGGGTCATGCTTGCTTGTAGATCTACATGTAGCTGTATTTTGTCACTCAATGTTGTCTTGAGTGTATTCTTTAACATTCTTACATTGTGTGCTTCACAAATTGCTTGTTACATGTGTTTAAATATTTTTTTTTAAATAGATAAGTGAAACATAACATCTTCTGAGTAGCAGTGAACCAATTCGATCAGCCTATTTCAGATTTTTCTTGCAAGGAATGCTATAGTGTAACCACCTGAAGTAGGTATTGTTCACAATTTTTATCCCCCCCCCCCACTCAAAAAAAAAGGGAGATTCTACTCAATTCTCAATTATTCATCCCCTCCCCCTTAACTTACCTTTCCATCTTCCATCCATTTGTCATCCTCTTTCTTCCATCTCGTTTCCACCAGTCCCTTCTTCCGGAGGAGGGATGCGGCCACTTCCCTGAAGAAGAGGGAAGTGAGGGCCAGCTCATGGAGCGACTCCCGGTCCAGGTGGAGCCCAATCTCCTGGAGGATCCCGTAAGGCAGGAGACTGAGCTGCACAGACTCATCTAGGGATGGCAAGACGGGGGGAGGGGAGAGAGGAGGAGGGGAGAGGGGAGGGGCCGTTTCGTCTTCCCCGTCTTGCTCCCCTTCTCCTTCCATCCCCTGATCCCTCAGCTGCCAAGGCACGGTGTGGAGAGGATCCTGAGGCTTGGGCGTTGAGGAGGACTTTGCATCTTCTGAACATACACAATATAAGAAAAACATAAAAATGTAGATAGATTAGCAACACTTGGGACACTTTGCATAAAAATAGTGACTGTGTATGTCCACAATATGCCCCACCTATTAAATTAAGTCAATCGTGTTTGGCCACCACATAATATTTCCAATCATCATTAATAACTTGAAACTTTGATCTTTGACCTTTCGAATACAAAATTTAATCAGTCTAGCCTGACAAGATAAAAAGCAATTTGAGCCAAATTCGTACAAAATATCTTCAATTGGTCTTTACAGTAACATAATACTGTACTGAGATCTGTTACACTCTCTAAACCCTTTGATCTTTGGACTCTGGCCTCTTGACCCTAAAAGTTCTAAATCATAGTGCCATATTTCATGGTTAATATTCAAACAGAATCTGCTTCACAACATACAGGGTATAAAACCTAAAAACATCATGCAACCATGTTGAAATTCAAGAAGAATGCAGACTTTTCATAATTTGCATCATTCCAACCTTGCACTTACAGCAGGTAAAAAGTAAACTTAGGAAAACTAATTTACTTCACTCACCATCTTTCTTCCCTGCACTGTCTGTTTCATCCTTCTTCCCAGCCCCACCATCCCCTTCTTTCTTCTCTTTGCCCTTTGACCCGACCTCTGCTAACCCCGCTGTTCCCTCTTCTTCTGCAGGTAACATCAAGGCTCTACGTTGCTCCTTCCACACCCCAAGGACAGGCTCACACTCATGATCATGACCATCACAAAAGTGACTCTCATAGTCATCTCTTGCTATCGACTATTCAAGAGAAGATACAAAAAGAGAGATTGCAAGAGACAACCACAGTATACATGTATAACCACTACACGTGTAACCCTTACACTAAACCTGACCCTAACCATAATCATACTGTAATCCTGATCCTGACCCTAACCTTGACTAATCCCTAACCATAATCTTGACCATGACCCTAACCTAAACCTTGACTAATCCTGATCCTGACCCTAACTAACCAAAAACCATGATCCTAACCTGAACCTTGACTAATCTCTCACCATAATCCTGACCATGACCCTAACCTAAACCTTGACTAATCCTGATCATGACCCTAACCCTAACTAGCCAAAAACCCTGATCCTAACCCGAACCTTTACTTATCCCTAACCACAATACGAACCATGATCCTAACCTGAACCTTGATTAATCCCTAACCATAATCTGGTGGCCTAATGTCTGATCCCACTTTGTCTACATCTTTTTTGTCCTCTATCCATGCCATCTCAGCAATTTGTTTCATTTTTCACATAGTCTCTTGATGATTCTGTCTAATGACCAGTTTGATAGTTTGATTATAATGTACATGCACATGTACATGTAAATCAGGGGAGTGTTTCCTTAAAGACCTTATCTTATATTAAACTTCATAATGTTGGAACACATTTTTCAATGAATGTCATCTATTTTCATCTAACATATTTTTCTCAAGTATTGTTCAATTCGTGGCTTGGACTAGCCTAACAGTCATCTCTGTATCCACAAACCCAATTTAAATGAAATGATGACAATTAATGGTCATCTTCTTGGAGCCAACATCAAATTTTGTAGAAATTTGCAGGAATTATGAATATGTCATGTATGTCCTATCTGTGAAATTTAAACGATAGTAGTATCCTAATATTCAAGTTATGCAAGGAAACCCGTTTACTTGCTAGACTTCATTGTCAGACACTATTGAGTGACTGACTGGCCTTTTATCTTCTTTGGTAATAACATACATACAATGAGCTGTAAAGGGTACATGAGCATGTTTTCTACATCAATAACTCACTTCTTGTAATGGCCAAAATTAAACTGATTGAATCTTTGCGCAGCATAAAACGTATGACCATTGGGTACAATTACTTACTGGCTCTATAGCTCTTAAGTCGATTTGACAACTAATAGTCGTCATTTTCCCAATTAAAGACATTTTCAAGCTCCCTTTTTTGTAGGGAAGTTCTAAACTAGTATTATCTTTGAAATGCCATTGGAATTTAACCTTTTCATATTTTTGGCCTGCAAATGGGACATAAAAGTAGTAACTTTAAGAACAGAGTTCATCCTGACTTGGGCCCCTACATAAATTGAAATTACATTTCCATACCTGGCCACACATGATGACATGGGCAGGGCACTGCTGGAGATGGTTGATGCATAGAGCGCGTCTCATTATCGCCTGGCAACCAAGTTTAGAGTTCAGACACTCTGTCTTGACATTTTGACACAACTCGCTGTGGTCATCTGCCTTGCACTGATGAAAATAGGCACCACACCTGTTTTAAAAATTAAAAACATTGTATTATTTATGGTTGTCATTGCTGATAGGAATCAACTACCAGCCACTGTAGGTACTGCCCCCCAACAGTTGCTGCCTTCCAGGAGGCTAACCTTCCTGTCATCAGAGGGTTGGAACCTCCTGTAGGTTCAAGAATGCTGTAAACTATAAGAGCATCCGTTTTTACTGGCACATTGTCTGCACCATCACCTCCTGTCACAACACATCCCATCCAGGTTTAGCTTGGGAAAGCTGCTTCAGGGATTATCTCATCAAGCTTCAAGACCAATGAAACAATCAAGGAAGCAATCACAGTGGCAAATATGAATAAATTTGTACATATCACCGGACAGCATATGAAAGTGATACAAAATATTGAAGAAAAAAAATAATTAAATAACAAAATAAATAAAGAAAAACTGGAGATCCTTTTGTTATCATAGGGCTCCAAACAATACAATCTTTCCTAGTTGGCAGATTCAAACTCTTGTCAGTCGTAGTGCATAACAGTCTCTGAACTCAGACTATGCAGACTGCCAGGTCTAGTGGACCCCTGCATAGATGAATTAAGATAAAGGTATGGCAGGAAGAAATTCCATGGAAGCTTGAGCACGTTAATGACAGCTCAGATAAAGCTGGAGTATAAACAGTATTTAGTGCTTTGTATCCTGAGAAAAAAGCATGTTATTGTCAATATTATCATAGACGACACAGTAATGGGTTCAAGACATCATTATGAACTTGTCTCTCTCAACCCAGGTGAAGTACCCAGTGTGTTCGTTCATTGACTCACTTGAATGGGCAGTAGATATGTGCACATGATACCCCCGGTTGAACAGAGACGTTACAGCGTTTGGTGATGCAGTTCAGACAGTGGGGATGTAAACCAAGCTCTTCTAATGTCGGATCTCTCAACTCATCTGTGAAAAAAAGTAGATAGATACAAAGAATACAGAAGGCAATGAATGAATGTTTTGAGATCAATAAAACAAGGAACACTGCAAAATCAATATTGTTTAACCATGAATAAATTCAGAGAATAGTATCAATTAACTGCTAATTTTTAATGATTCAAGGAGATGACAAGGTATTTCAAAGTTTGTTTAAGCCAAAAGGTTAATAAAGGTGAGGCTTTTATGTTATGGTTTTTTAAAATGATTATCTGCCTGCCACTACACATTCAAAAAGTTTTTATGAAGACGCACTTGTTTTCAGGAGCTTTTGAATAGATTTTTTGTTGTTGTGTGTCTGACACTGTTAGAAGTTTTGTTTTCATCACAGCACAGTATATAGTAGCTGCACTATATTTGATCTAATTATTATTTATTATTATCTTAAATGTTTTCTTTCTCTCTCTCTCCAGGCATATGTGGATTTATGTACATGCATGGATCTCATCTTTCTCTCTCTCTCTCTCTCTCTCTCTCTCTCTCTCTCTCTCTCTCTCAACATCCCTTCTCTTCTAAATTTCATTGCAGAGCTTGTGCCTTTGCTGCTCTAACTCAATTTTCATTTCTTTTTCCTCGTGTTAATATTCCTTCAAATGTATTGTTGTTATGTACATTAATGTACATTTCAAAACTACATATGCAAGATAATATAACATCTTATTTACACAACTTAGGATTTTAGGATTAGGCTCTTCTGCTTATCTGTAACTAATTACACTCAGCTGTTCTATAAGAATCTGTTTTGGAATGTGCACCTGTTACTTTAAATACTACTCCAGATCATACGGATGGCAAAATCACAGCCCGCTGACTTACTTGCAAGCGCCTACATGTACACACAAAATATGACTTTCTTTTTTCATTGTAATTTTAAGCCGATACTGTGACTCTTCCTCCTCCTCCTCCTCCTCCTCCTCCTCCTCATCCTTCTTCTCCTCCTCCTCCTCCTCCTCCTCCTTCTTCTCCTCCTCCTCCTCCTTCTCCTCCTCTTCTTCCTCTTCCTCCTCCTCTTCCTCCTCCTCCTCCTTCTCCTCTTCCTCCTCCTCTTCCTCCTCCTCCTCCTTCTCCTCCTCCTCCTCTTCTTCCTCCTCCTCTTCCTCCTCCTCCTCCTCCTCTTCTCCTTCCTACTCTTCCTTCTTCTCTTCTTGTTTCCTTCCTCCTCTTCCTTCTCCTTCATGATCTCCTTTTTCCACCTAGTAATACAATCATCCATATATTTTGTTCACATTGTCACTGTGCAGCTAGCTAGCTATGCTCATTAAAATAAAAAATCTTGTTTTTGTTTGTACTTGATGTAGAAGGTTTCTTCTTCTTCTTCCAGTGCAGTGTAAGTGCTGCTTCAAAGTTCAAGGTGATGACTTTCACATATCCCGTTATTCCACATTTTAGTTTATGCTGATATTAGACTCTATTTTTTAATTAATAATTTTCTTTTTAGTTTGTCTTTAGAAAATGAATTTCTCCTTCCCACACTGCAACTTACAAACATGACAAAGTTCAACTTCTACTTGAGGTTCTATTGATAGTTGTTCTAACTTCTAGATCTAGAATCTAGACTAGAGTCGACTCAGTCGAGTAATTGACACCTAATTAGTTGTTAAATTCCTTTTTTTTAAAATTCTAGGCATAGATCGATCTAGTTCGACAAAAGTACTAGATCTACATGTAGTATAGAGGACAATATATCTAGCTTTCATTGTTTCATTAACTCTCCTCCAGTTCCATGACATTCTCATGAGTTTCCCTTCCCATAATCCCATTTCATCCTTCACTCTCGGCAGTCGAGGCCCGCCCGCCTCGCCTCGTCCGATCCGAGGCGAGGCGCCTCTTACTAGATCTATTTTCAGTATTCACTGGAATGCCGGATCATGATCATGCAGACTTTCAAGTTGCACAATCAAAATCGAAGATGTAAGTCGTACTCGTCGATAAACATTATACCCAGTACTGTAATTATTACCTTGTCCTTGGATTTCCATGATAACAAAGTTCTCTTCTGATCTGTATCTGTTTCAGAGATGAACAATATTAATCGCCATTCCAGGAAAATGTAAACAAGGATTCATAAAATGATTGCAGGTATTTCATAGCAGGATAATTGCTAGCTTGATTTCAGCCTTACATATTTATATCATAGCTATTTTGTACAAAAACTGTAGAGTTAAATAAACTAATGTGATATTTTTTTAATTTTTAAACAGTTTTAAAGTTTTATATGATATATATTATATTAATACATTATTTTCAAACAAACTTTTTAAGTTTACACATATCAAAGAAATAATAAAGTTTCTAAAATAAGAATATCAAAAAAGCCCCGCCCATGCAGCTGAGAGGAAAAGAATCTCGCCCAAATCTTGGCTAAAAATCGCCAATACGTTTTTAGCCTATTTCAATAATAAAAAACATTTTAATAGTAGTTTCCTATTAGTATAAAATTTGTCCAACCATTTCAATTTTTTTTAGATACGTGTTATGTATAATTTTGTTTTATTGTGTTATAAATATACTTTGGTTTAAAATATTGTGAAATAAATATTAACGTTATATTTTGTTTCCTTTATCGAAACTAGCATAAACAAGAGTCAGCTGTGTGTACTGTTTACATTATGCGGAAGCCGGTAATGTAATGTGTGTATTGTACACGTGGACAGTGTATGAAGTGACTGATAATGATGCCATTGTCACTGCCATGCAAGCAGCAGCATATGCACACAGCACAGAACAGAACCGATTTCAGCATATAATTTGAGCTTTAATAGTCAACAATTATGTTGTCCTGTCGATGTCACATCAATACTCATGCTGCTAACATGATCTTAGAATTGCTCGTCAGGATATTCCTCTTGATTGCCTTCTTGTAAGTTTATTTTCCATGAAGTTTTAATTTTCATTGTCACTGATCATCATGATTGTTAATCAAAACTTGAAAAAGACATAGGGGTCTAGATCTAGGCTAGATCTAATTAAACTTTAATAATTGTTTCGAATTCAATGTTAGATTTAACTTGGTAGTAATTTTATACATTTTGTGTAATTCATTCCTTTTTTTATTCTATTTGTTATTTATTTGATTTCCATGTAGGCCTAGTCTAGATCTACATGTAGATCTATAAATGAAACAGAAATGACAACACAGAGCATAACATGAAACTAAAAGAGTACAAGACAGTCACAGTGAAGTGCCACCAGCAGACGCCTGAGGATACCCTAAAAGAATTTCCATTCTGTCATGAGGTTCTCCATGTCCGCTGTTGTTACATGTGAATAGATTTAAGAAGTAACAGTAAAATAACATAACATAATTCAATTTAATGTAATTCGTAATACCTCAAGGGATCAGAGATCTGTGTGAAGAGACCTCCACACCACCCTGCCTGAACGCGCCAAGAAGCTTATACTCCCCGAACTGCCGGTCACTGAAAAGGCGCTACGACACAAGTGCCAGAATTCAATCCAATTCAATTCAACCAATTAATTAAATTTAAGCAAACTAGCGAAACCGAACCGAACCAAATTCCAACACCTACATCAGAATGCCCTCTCAATGGGAGACTGCTCAAAGAGCAAACCTCTCGGCTCTCTAAAATGAGGCAACATACAGTAGAGGTCCCCACACACAGATCCCTGATCCCTTCAGGTAAAGTATCCCAGAACCTAGGAAAGGCATAAAAGCATGAAAATTTCAGAGCATTTGATCTTGCAAGTTGATGGTTGAAGAAAAGACTATGGGAGCGTCTTGAACTGGGAATGGGAAGAACATAATCTGGTACATCATGACAACTACAGATGCATTTTACAACAAATGACATGTCAAATAAATGAGACAATTGGTGGTGAAGCTAGCTTCTCAAGACGTTGCTCGTATGTACATGTAAGAGTGTTAGAAATGTGGTATGGAAAACAAGAACGAGTAAATCATCTTTGAATAGCTCCAAGAGCTAAGATATGGTTTTTTGGTGTGGCAACCAAACTGGGATGTTGCATTCAATCAATGACAGGTCGATCTACATATGGTACAGTATAATCGTTGAAGGACGGTTGTATTTCTGGAGTTTGCAATCCGACGCACATCGGGAAATAACAGATTGGATATGTTTACTCCAAGAAAGATCACTTGAGAATATTAATCCAAGATGTTTGTGTGAGGTGACCGCATTAACAAAAGTTAATTGGCAGTTTGGCATGATTGCTGATTGCTCTGATGTAAGTTTGTTTCCAAAAATAGAACAGCTAGTATTAGTAATTAAGTGCAGAAGTTCTCTTTTTAATTTTATAAATTAAAATGTGCACTTTTCTATGACTGTCGGTGTACAACACTGCAACTTCTATTCTAAATTAATTTCCGCATTTGTCATTTTGTGTTTGGCTTTTGGTTTGCTTTTTTCACCTCGATCGTCATCGTCGTCCTACCGATTCCTACGAGTCATGACTATGACCCTTTGTGACCCTTTTGATTGGAATCTCTGCAATAGTCCACCAGCACAACCAGTAAAGAAGATTGTTTTGCAACGTTTGCTATATAATTGTTAACTCAAATGTCAGCAGTACCAATTTATCCTCTTGAATGCACCACAAAATAGCTATTTTTCTTGTGTCAAAATGGTGTCAAATAGATCTATCCATCTGATGTCAGAGGGGATAGATCTTTCAAACCAAGATGAGATACAGACTTATTAATATGCCTTTGGTTTACTTCTTTTTTGTCTTTCAATTAAACAGAATTACTGAGGAGCTTGACCCATTTCAACGAGTAATACAGCCAGAAGAGATGTGGTTATACAAGAACCCCCACTCTGTGCACAGCACTGTAACAACAAGGATGCTATTTGTAAGTACATGCAACCATGTAAAAGATATTTCTAAAGTTACCCTTAATGAGGTCAAAGGTCAGAGATAAGAAAAAGAAATAGAAGAGATGTGCATGGTTTAATATACAAGAACCCCCACTCTCTGCACAGTATTGTAACAATTAGGATATTATTTGTGACTAGGCCTGTAACCAATCATCGGATCGGGGGCCGTCTTGAGCCGATCAGGTGAGCATGCATGCCTACATTATAATCCAAGATGGCGGCCTGCATGTTTTGCCTCTTCTCTTAGACCAATATTATTAATTTCAAAGTCATGAAAAGGCACTAAATATCAACAAACATGGTCTACAACTCCAAATGACAAAATATTCCCAGCTATGCATTTTGTAAAGTATTTGATAGCCCAAGACTTAAAAATTTTCAGCATTAAAAAGAATAATAAAAAAAAAAAATGCCAGTAATTTTTGCCGATACCGATCACAGGTGCGAGGGTGTCGCTCTGATCTTCCTATCTGATCAAAGCCCCAACTTACAGGGTTATTTGTAACTATAAGTCTATGCCACAGTTTGTAACATCTTTCTAAATTTACTCTTTATGAGGTCAAAGGTCAGAGATTTTTTTAAAATGGAAGAGAAATGGTTATTATACAAGAACCTCCACTCTGCACAGTATTGTAACAACAAGTAGGATGTTATTTTGAAGTCTATGCCTTGGTGTGTAACATCTCTCTCTCTTTCTCTCTCTCTCTCTCTCTCTCTCCCCTGCAGGGCTCTGCTATCCTGGTGCCGCTTTGTGTTATAACAATCTTTAGTCTCATGAGGAAAGATAGACTCGATTTTCTACATGCTGTTTTAGGTAAACCTCATTGTTTTATGACCCTATGAATTTCACCTTTAAAGAGAAGGTTGCGTTCTGGGAAGAGGGGAGAAATAAGTTGTGAGCGTTATCAGTGTATTATGCAAGTGTGGAAGAACATCAGATAAAATGTTCTCTAAGAAGCATGGCTCTTCAAATTCCTTAATATTCTAAATATGGCATCTAACATCATAAAAATTGGGACAGATTTTTACGCCACATGTTCGTGTAGTTCCATATACATCTTTCTGTGTACAGTGCGTGTAACTTTACCCAGACTGGGCCAAATTTTTTATCATTTTGATGATTCCAAAACCTTGCAGTGCACACCAATTCTTATAAGCTCGATGATCAACCTTTTCTGATCGTTTCCACAAGGTTTCTTTCACAATGCAATCGCAATGACCAGAACTCAACTACATCTTAACATTTTTGTGTAGTGATATACTGTTTGTTGTTTGGATGGTGGTGGTATGTTCAATACTGATGTTTCATATTTCTTGGAGTTCAACTTCACTGTCCTATCATAGTCATATCATAGTCATATTAATTACTGAAAGATAAAATAATTATAATTTTGTAAATTTGTAAGAGGCGCTTTATGCATTGCTCAGAACACTCCATGAAAGCTTTTTGGTTGCATGCTGTATAAAAAAACTCATAAGATTGTTTGTATGCGTTCATTGCTTTGCTTGCAATATTGACTTAAGTGTTTTCATGTATTTTATCATTTCATCCTACAGCTTGCTCGCTTGCTGAGCTTTTAGATGGAGTACTTACAAATAGCATCAAGTTAATTATTGCAAGGTAAGGAACAGTATATTATTAATGACTGCTTTGAGAGAAATAGTTGTTTTTATACGCTCAAGGGAAGGTTAGAATTGTGCTATTGCCCCGAGGCGTGCCGAGGGCAATAGCCCGATTGTAACCTTCCCGAGAGCGTATAAAAACAACTATTTCTCGAATATTAAAGCAGTCATTAATACTTTTATATGCCAAAAAAAAAAAAAAAATTGTCGAAGATGGGATTCGATCTCTTGCGTACCAAAGGTGATGTAACGAAAACCGCCGCCTTAAACCGCTCGGCTATCGCGCTCTGTTCCCATACTTGGCAGTTTTTTCTTATATATACATTAAAATGAATTGAAAACGGCTTCGCGTGGTGGAAGCTTCGCGGCTGCTCCATTAAACAGGCCCTTCTTTTACTTTTGCAATGCATATTGGCACGAATTTAGATCAAGATCTATCGGCAGATGTTGTTTTTTTGTTTTTGGAAGTTTATTTTCGTCTTAATGTCAACAATGCAAGATAAAATTGTCGGTAAGATCGATCGAGATTCAATTGTATTGAAATTACCGACCAATTCTTCGCACACGTACGGTATCCTCGATCGCTCAGACCATTTTTTAACATGTAAACCTATGGGGTAACCATGGAGACTGACCTATTTTCCCAATAACCATGGTTATTGGGATTTTGAACTGTTTTTATGCCTCCGCCACCGAAGGTCGCCACCGAAGGTGGTGCCGGAGGCATCATGTTTTCGGGTTGTCCGTCCGTACGTCCGTCCCGTTTGACCGTTATCACAATATCTCAAGAACCATTTAAGATTTAAACTTAAGACTCGGGAATAGTATTTATCACCATAGGAAGATGATCTGATTAGATTTTGGAGTACGTAGGTCAAAAGTCACAGGTCACAGAGGTCAACTTATGAAATTCCTTGTATTGAGTTTGTTAGCGCGATATCTCAAGAACCATTTGAGATTTAAACTTCAAACTTAAGGATAGTATGTATCACCATAGGAAGACGATCTGATTAGATTTTGGAGCACGTATGTCAAAGGTCAAGGGTCACAGAGGTCAACTTATGAAATTCCATACATTGAGATCGTTATCGCGATATCTCAAGAACCACTGGAGAATTTTCACTTCAAACTTAATGATAGTATGTATCACCATATCATAATATCTCAAGAACCACTGGAGATTTAAACTTCAAACTTAATGATAGTGTGTATCACTATAGGAAAACAATCTGATTACATTTTGGAGCACGTAGGTCAAGGGTCACAGAGGTCAACTTATGAAATTCCATACATTGAGATTGTTATCATGATATCTCAAGAACCACTGGAGATTTAAACTTCAAACTTAGTGATAGTGTGTATCACTATAGGAAAACAATCTGATTACATTTTGGAGCACGTAGGTCAAAGGTCAAGGGTCATAGAGGTCAACTTATGAAATTCCATACATTGAGATTGTTATCATGATATCTCAAGAACCACTGGAGATGTAAAAACTTCAAACTTAAGGATCGTATGTATCACCATAGGAAGACGATCTGATTAGATTTTGGAGCACGTAGGTCAAAGGTCAAGGGTCACAGAGGTCAACTTATGAAATTCCATACATTGAGATTGTTATCATAATATCTCAAGAACCACTGGAGATTTAAACTTCAAACTTAATGATAGTGTGTATCACCATAGGAAGACAATCTGATTAGATTTTGGAGCACGTAGGTCAAAGGTCAAGGGTCACAGAGGTCAACTTATGAAATTCCATACATTGAGATCGTTATCCGATATCTCAAGAACCACTGGAGAATTTTCACTTCAAACTTAATGATAGTATGTATCACCATATCATAATATCTCAAGAACCACTGGAGATTTAAACTTCAAACTTAATGATAGTGTGTATCACCATAGGAAGACAATCTGATTAGATTTTGGAGCACGTAGGTCAAAGGTCAAGGGTCACAGAGGTCAACTTATGAAATTCCATACATTGAGATTGTTATCATGATATCTCAAGAACCACTGGAGATTTAAACTCCAAACTTGTTTAAATTGCTCTATGGCGGAGGCATCATTTTCGACTGCGCGCAGTCAAAATTCCATCTAGTTTAACCATGGTTACCGGGAATTTTCGGGAACAGTTAAAGTTTATGAATGCAATTTCGACTAATCAGATTGCTGGATTACTTAAGTGAGGTATATAATACAAATTATTCAGAGTGAGAGAGGGCTTTTGATTTGAGTTTAGGTAATAGTTACCATGATATAGCAATGAATGCTAATGCTTCTTCCAGAGTTATTACCCTGGCTCTTGCTGTAGTCCTCAAGCATTGAAGCCTTGAAAGTATTCCTTTCTGCCAGTCCTTTACCTGGATTTTTCCACAGTCTTGGAAAAACCTGGAAATTCTTGGAAATTGAAAAAAAGTCTCCCAACATCATGGAAAAGTCATAGAAATTGATCCTGCGTGTGGACAATGTATGGCTATTGCACCCTCCCAGTTTAAAATGACATTGCATGTGGTATTCCGTATTCGTACGTTGCTTGGCAACATGGGTCATGGAAAGTCATGGGATTTGGTTCTCAAATTTCTGTGGAAACCCTTTGTAGTAAACTGTTTACTATCTTGCTAAAGAACATTAGTGCTGTGCCACTTATTATGAGTTAAAGGTTGTTATTAGCTGTGAGTCTCTGAAGCAGGGAAATAGTCATTATACTGGCATCATTGGAGACCTGTGTTAGGCTTAGTGGTAGAGCAGTGGTTGTAAACAGGGACTGGGAGGGCCCAGGTTCAATCCAAGTTAATGCAGAAGGGTCCTTTGGTATCTGTAGGGCAGTGATCATTAACTACCAAGTCCATTGTACAGGACTTAAAGCCCTTGATTCCCTGGTTTTTATATTTGTAAGGAAGGGTTAAAAATTAAATGAACATCGTATTGTCTGAAAATATGAATTGTGTTCATAGAAAAATCAAAAATTTCCTGTTCCTTCTTTGAAATTCTGATTGGGTTGGATATTAGATGTAGTCCATGATCAGCTCATGTTCACGAATAACACATGTCCTACAGTTCTCATTGTTTTCTTCATATCGCAGACCACGGCCAGACTTCTTTTATCGCTGTTTTCCTGATGGCGTGATGACAACAGATCTCAAATGTACAGGAGATTTAGATACGATCAATGAAGGCAGAAAGAGCTTTCCTAGTGGACATTCCTCGTGTGAGTAGGATTTTTTTGGTTAGCATATTTATGGCCCCCTTCCTGTAGCTGTTCTATATGGAGGGAGAATCAGAATGTGTCTGAATTTCAGTAAATCCATCGAAAACCAATCTGGAACCATGCTCGAAATTGCATTATCAGTGTGTAATATACCAACTCATTGCCATCAGTTTTGATGGATATAGGTAACCCGTACAATAGAGGTCAAACACACAAACTCTCTCTTTTTGTGTTTTTGATTCTCTTCTGTCAAATTGACATGAAAATACAGATACTTTGCCAGCAATGTAGGGCTTTGGTGATGGTTACTGTATGTCTTTTCTTTTGACTTTTTGTTTTCGTGCAGTTTCATTTTGTGCCTTTGGCTTTACTGCCTTTTACCTGGCCGGAAAACTACACACATTTGAGAGTCGAGGACGAGGCGTAGGCTGGAGGATACTGGTAACATTAGCTCCCCTCTATGTTGCCCTCATGGTTGCGTTATCAAGAACAGCTGACTACAGGCATCACTATGAAGGTAAATTAATATAGATGATATACATAGCATAATACTGAAGATCATTTGAGAGCAACAGTGATGGTTGTGGAGCCAATAAGTACTGAAGCTTTCTTGCGAGATAAATATTATCAGTGACGGATGGGGAGGGGGGGGGGGGTGAGGCGGGGCGTAGGCCAACACATGCCCCACTCAAGTAAAAATCTAGTTACATTTAATTAACACATGTAACCCCCACCCACAATGGCACCAAATTGAGATTTTTTTAAAAAAATTTGGGGGGGGGGGGGTCAGAGATGTACAAGGATCATATAAAAAAATCAGTTTTTTATCTCAAGATTGGCAACATTAATATACATTTATGTATTTCTTACGCTATTATTTCTCTGACAAAGTCTTGTGCATCTTAAATCAAACTTTACCAATATTGTGGTAAAATATTGCCAATTTATCACTGAAAACATATGGCTAATTTTGAAATGTACTATAAATAGAATTTGTAGTTATTTCAATTTAAAGGTCTGTAACTGTGTTCTCTCATAGATGTTATAGCTGGGTCTCTACTTGGTCTTGCCGTTGCCTATGCCATCTATCGCCAGTACTTCCCAGCCCTCACCCACGCCACGTGTGACAAATCTTACGCAAGGCTTTACGCCCTCAGAGACGCAATGTCGTTGCAAGAGTACAACACAAACAATGCAATAAGTACACGTATACCACTGGACAGTGTTAAAACTGTTTGATGAATGGAGCATGCTGTAGACTACAGCATTACAGCAGATATTGATGAATTGATATTCAAAAGACATGTAACGATCAAAGATCATGTATGTCTGGAATCATGTAGTCCCTTTTGTTTACAAGAAATGGTCCACATCAAGAAGGGAATGCAGGCTTACTTCATTCCATCGTGTCTGTGTGTTGGGTCTAGGTGGCGGGTTACGTGAACTTTTGTTGATAATTGAGCCCTAATTCTGAAAGGGTCGGGTGCAACGTTTGTGAAATGATGTCCACCCTTCAATATCGCCAAAGTGTAGTGTCCAGTTTACCCAACACTTTCTCTACAGCAAATCTACAAAAAGTTGTGTCTTAACCCGACACTTTTTTAGTACAAGATAAATAATCAAAAGAGTTAATAAAAAAAGCTAGTGATCCACATGTACACTTCGTCATTGTATTGGCACATTTTCGCAGATGTAATTGGAAAAAAAAGATTAGCTTCATCTCAAGGACAATATTTGAAAAAAATGGGATCAATGCGAATGATCATCATTCACATTCAATATACCCGACCTTTCATGAACATGGGGGCATTTTTTTACAAAAGTTTGTATAACCCAACGTATTAAACACACCTGACAATTTGTGAATAAGGGGATGTGTAAACAATCGTTCTTGAAACCGGATATGGCAATTAGAGAGAGAGAATGCTGAATCTGCATAGTACAGATACAAGTATTGTACTATGTACAACGTACTGGGACCAAAAAGAAGGTCCATCTGTTAATTGATTTAATGTAGTTCTCTCTTTACAATCAGTGTTTTGGTATTAGCTTTTCACTTGCCGTGATGCAAGCCTCTTCAAACCTCTGTGGTATATATACCGTATTGTCGTACTGCTACAACAAATTGTGGTTGTGAAGAAAGAATTACTTTTCAAAGTGCTGGGACCAGTTTAATATTCCGCTTATATAGCTCTTAACACAAATGTCTCTAAGCGCTTTACAAATATACCCCGGTCATTGGATTCAGTGCTTCCTCGTACACACTGTGTGCACAATCTCCACTCCATGGGGAGCATTCCAGCCAGGCGTTACTTGACGCTCAAAAACTGTTTGACGCTCGCATCCTACCGGGTACCCTTTTTAACACCTGGGTGGAGAATAGCAAGTGTTGGTTAATATCTTGCCAAAGGATATTAGTGCTGTGTCGGGATTCGAACCCTCGACCTTCGCATCTCCAGTCAAGCGCCTTATACAGATATACATTGTACAACTCAATTCTTGACCAAAGTTTGTCACTTCACTTGGACTTTGCAGGAATTATGAATATGTCATGTATGTCCTATCTGTGAAATTTAAATGTAGGCAGTGTCCTAATAATCAAATTATGCAAGGAAACCTGTTTACTTGCTGGACTTCACTGTCAGACGCTATTGAGTGACCGACTGGTTTTTTCTTCTTTGGTAATAACATTGTATAAAATGAGCTGTAAAGGGTACATGAGCATTTGTCTACATCATTAACCCACTTCCTGTAATGGCCAAAATTAAACTGATTGAATCTTTGCGCAGCATAAAACCTACACCATTCGATACAAAGGTCTGAAAATCAAGACTATTACTTATTGGCTCTATAGCTCCCAAGTCGATTTGACAACTAATAGTCATTATTTTCCCATATAAAGACATTTTCAACCCCCCTTTTTTTAGGGAAGTTCTTAATTACCGTAGTATTATCTTTCAAATGCCGTTGGAATTTAACCTTTTCATTTTTTCTTGCCTGCAAATGGGACATACCGGTATTACCTTTAATGCATATTAGTTTGTACAATTTATTTATGCAATTTATACGTTTGCATTTTGTTTATAAATTTCTTTGATAGAAATGATAACATCAACATACATTAATGAAACAACATATGAAAAGTGTAACTTATTATTCATTTTTATTTTCCTTCATTCAGATATTGTCTGTATTTTTGTCATTTTTTAAAACCAGTTTATACAAACAAATATTTCACTATTTAATTAAGGTGATTTGCCTACCGGTATACAATGTATACTAAGTTGTATTTATGATTATCCTTCTGAACGCTTGTATTATTACATATTTATTTTTTTAAAGAGCAATGATTTCAGTTGTGTAACATGCTCTCAATACATGTAGTGTGCCCACAATCATTTTTTAAATGATAAAATAAATGAGGAAAAACAAAATAATATATTCTTGTTCATCTCTGCTTGTTCTAGAATTGATGAGACCTATACCAAAATACAAATGTACATGTGAAGTAATTCTGTTCAAAATATATGTATATTACTTCTGTTACATATGAACGTCCTATTCCAAGAAGTAAATAAGTTAGGGGAAAACAAAACATACCAATACCCTTTTTCATGCTACAACTTCATATACTACATGTACATGATGACTGAAGACGTTACAAAATTGCAAAACAAAGACACTGTAGCTTCAAACATTATGAGTAAAAGGAAACTTTAAAGGTAAACACCAGTTCTCGTCATGCGATTGCATTGTGAAAGAAATGTTGTGGAATCGATCAGAAAAGGTTGATCCTCTAGCGTATAAGTATTGGTGTGTACTGCAAGGTTCTGGAATCATCAAAATGATAAGAAACTTGGCCCATTCTTGGTAAAGTTACAAGCACTGTACACAGAAAGATATATATGGGACTACGCAACACGTGCGCGATATCTATCCGGTCCAGATAGATTTAATAATTTACCAAATATATCAATTAGTTCGCGGTTTCTCAGCAAAATTTGTATCATCAAGTAATAGTCCAAACACATTCTTTCACATGATTGGTATAAGAGCTTTCACTTCATTTTTTTGAGAGGGGGGCGTTTCCAAAACAGGTCTTTACCTTTAAAGCGTGTTAATGAAATAGAAAATAGCATCTCACAATATTCCATCGATATGTCATGAAGGCTGGATTGCAAACAAAGAACACCAATGCACATGTGAAAGAGCCCTGTTATAGTGGTTATAATACACAAATCTATAGGAGCCAGGGACGGTATTCAATTCAATACTTAAGATAAGTAAGAAATTTACTAAGTAAATGGCTAAGTTAAGTAATTGACTTATCACGTATTCAAATCGCATTTTAGACTTATACTTGCGTAAGACAAAATCTAAGTAAAATACTTACTAGTAAGCATTGTGACGCCATTCGGTCAATCAAAAGTAATGCGCAATTGATGCATTGCAATAAATGCGCGCTGATATAATTGTGCGCAGGATATAATACTGCGTAAGAAAACCATATGCCTGCCAATCAAGGCCTCCAAATAATTGGCTTAAGTCTGGTATGGAGTTGGCTTAGATTTAGAGTAAAATACTTGGCCAAAAGTATGAATTGAATACCATAATTGGTTAAGTATTTTATCTAAGCCAAATTCTAAGTAAAAAGCTAAAATTTTGTAATTAAGTATTGAATTGAATATGGGCCCTGGGGGGTGTTTCACAAAGATCTTAAGTTGAACTTATCTCTAAGTTGGACTTAAAAATTATGGAAAGCCATTAGCATCTTTGAAAATATTTTGTAAAAGTTATTTTGAAAGGCATAAAATGTTGATTCAAATCATTCATATCTTCTATCATCAAGGAGATTTAATATTCTGGATGTGGAATTTATAAAAAGTCTAAAATACTTGAATTTCTGCTTTTGAATATATTTCATTTTAAGGCTCCAATGGCTGTCCATAATTTTTAAGTCCAACTTAGTGTTAAGTTCTACTTAAGATCTTTGTGAAATACCCCCCTGGTTACAAATCATTTTATGGCTCACAATATGGCTTGTCCTACCTAACCACACGGAATGTATGCAAATTCGCATTCTGACTATTGAAATACAATTATTTGTAACGGGTGAATGAAATCATCTGTAACGAGGCACTTAACAAAGATCTGTGCATTAATTTTATTACGTTACAGAAATGGCCTGTTGATGAAATAAACAAACTTCTGCACTGACTCAATCCGTGAATTATGAAATCAGTGGTTTTCAACTGATAGTTACTTCTACCTTGCATAATATTGATTTTGATGTACATGTATGGAACCTCCAGGTTCGATAACGAAAAAAAACTCTAATTCATCTCAAGGTCATTTTGACAGTGCCATCTGTTCACATACCATTGTTGTTTAGCCCTGACATGACAAGTTTACAATATAACAAGTAATTTCCTTGGTCTAGAAAGAGATTTTCTATATTCTACACCTGTTTGTGTAGGTTAAACTTTATTGCCAATCCTGTTAAGAAAAATCGTTTTACAATATAGTTGGCAAATAATATTCTTGTCAGTGCATTTTATGCTCTTCCTAATGCTCCTTCTGTTTTCTCAGTCTTTGGAAAATTTATAGTCAAGCATATCATTTTAATCTTCAGCCTCCTAAATAAGGGGAATGATTCCCTGAAACCCGGCTATCAATATGCTGGAAAAATGATATTGAAGAACAAATTAATGTAACTCTGCCTGCAATTTGACATTCTGATAATAGTGATGTACATCATCACTGTGTGAAATTAGATTGTAGTTGATTTAGGGTCTTCTCTACCTTGGGTCAAAATTTGAAATATATACAAAAACAAACAAACAAACTCTTCATTACCACTATACTAATCCAATAATGTATTTGATATGCTTGCGGGTAATATCCTTAACCAGTTGACTGCTACCCACGTACATGTACGTGCTTAAGGCATTGCACTTTCAAGACCGTAGCACTGCATAATGCCAAGCCCTACTGTGTAATTAGCACTGCAATGATGTTATACGGGTCTTGAACAGTAGATGGCGCTCTTCCCAAAAAAGAAAATAAGTTTTCTTTCAAAATTTGATTCCCATACCAGAGCTCAAGATTAGCTTTAAGCATTCTTTATATTATACAAGAATATTATCTTAAGAACACTTAAGTATCTTATAAAATGTATGCCTCAATCTAATATTGCTATTACTATGACCTCACTATTATTTCTGCATCCATTATGCAGATTTCTAAAATAAAAATTGGTATACTACTGTATATTCAACATAATTTTATTTATCAATGTACTTCATAAAGGTAGGGTATTCTACTGAACTCCAGATTAACGTATACTATGATCTGCTGCTCACAATGTCCTGATGCGTTGACGGCCGTGTCCCAACATACATCACCAAATGATGACGCGCCCGAGACGATGCTTGGATACAGGAATTTGAAATTGCTCTATGTACGCCTTAACTAGAGGATGGCGCAATTGAAAATAGATCAGTGGTAGCGATGTCGGTAAAATACCCTGCCTTTATTACAAAACAATTATAGCATTATCAATTTGTATTCATCATAAATGTACAATTCTTTTCGTACGATTATGTACATGTACTATTTGTCAATTAAAGACATGATTTCTTTACTAAATATACAAAACAAATCATAACAATCATAATCTTTTTGATTATTGTTGGAAGACATTTTCAACACATACCAAAATTTAAAAGTACCGGTACAAACAATATTGTCAATATCTTACACGTCAGACAAGTACTCCAAAACAAAATCTTTCAAAATATACATGACAGAAGCAGTGTTTCACACACAATGCGCTGAAATTTAGTACTTTTTGCGACACACAAAAATATAACTCTAGTGCCGATTCTGCTGTTTTCATTGCACAGGAGTGAATTTGCAGAAAAGAACTGACACATGTACTTCCTAAATAAATAAGAAAAGACTGCTTTTGTGCAAATCTAAGAACAGCTATGATTTGTTTTTAAGACCCAGCTTAGAGTTTCCTACAGGTTTTGTAAAGCACACTGCACACCAAAGGATACAACTGCATGGACTTTAAGGTAGCTGACTATTACATGTAGGTGTTCCTTACATCACCAAGTTTCTCAAAATAAATTGACATCAATTTTTTTTTCTTCACTTCACATTTAGTCTGTTGAAAGCTCGAGTAGGGCTAACTTAATACCATGATCAGATACATTACAATATGATTGGAGGAAAGGATGTGGCTCTTGTAGAAGGGTAGATGGGCATGGCACATTGGCTGAGATCACTGGGTCTTTGCAGGGATGGGAGGAAAGGTGTGGCTCTTGTAGTGGGGTAGATGGGCGTGGCACATTGGCTGAGATCACTGGGTTTTTGCAGTGACGGGAGGAAAGGGCGTGGCTCTTGTAGAGGGGTAGATGGGCATGGCACATTGGCTGAGATGACTTGGTCTTTGGAGTGATGGGAGGAAAGGTGTGGCTCTTAAAGTGGGGTAGATGGGCGTGGCACATCTAGGGGAAGATCACTGTGTCTTTGCAGGGATAACTCTTGTGAGTATGTAGATGGGGAACACCATGAGGACAGCTCCCCAGATGTAGCAGACACCGGCTCCAGCTCCCCAGTACACTGCAAAGACAAAACACACAGGAAGATGATATCAAAAGATGTATAGGAACAATGAATGATTTGTATAAAGCTTTGCCTTTTCAGGATGAAATCATCAAAACACATTCATGCAGATTTTTAATATAATCTTGGAGCTCTAGTAATGTCATTTTTCAAGAGGAATCTATGGTAAATATATTCTAAATAAATATTATATCAATACAGTTGACTATTAGGTAAATAAGAATTCTGATACAGGGATGTATGTATCAGTAACCCTGCTATATACAGTATATATTTCATGTATATCAAGTTGAACAGGCATTCAAAGCTGCAAATATTAACATCAACATTGACTGAAAATGCAATACCTCAAACTAATGCTTATAAAGGATTAACGAGGAGGATATGGTAGTTACCTGCAGAAGCTGCTGCTGGTCCGAAGGCCCTGGAGAGCGCCCCCAGTGACCTGAAGATGCCCATGATTGTACCTTTCTGGTCCTCAGGGCCTACATTACAACAAAAAAAGGACAATAAGGAGTAATGTACATTAGCCATCAGTGCCTACAGGTCCTGTTTCATTAAACTTTTTATTATAAAAGGTAATACAAAGTTTTGGTATGGAGCCATGAATTTAGGTCAAATGAACATGTTGGAAGCAACAATAATTCATGTTCATTAAGCACAGAGTTAATGCATCATCTACACATCATCCAGATATTTTCAAAGTTTCAACGATTGCCTTTATAGCAATGTAGTCTTGAATAGAGAAGAAATAAAATAAGAAATTAGTCACTCAGAAATAATTATGAGTCACAAGACGATCCAAAATAAAAAATAAAAAGAAGAGTGGGTCAATGAAATGCATGACAGTCCCACTAATAATATATAGGAAACGGACAAAATAGGGCAAAATTTATTATCACAAACTTGCTCCCCCCCCCCCTCCTCCCTTTAACTTAACTTTTTTTTTAATGGAAAAGAAAGGATTGGTGATGCGTTTTTAAACCCACAATACTTTGTGATGTATGCAAAGTTTAAAACATTTGTTGTATGCATATACATTTAACTATATTTGTTAAATGTATCTTACTACTTACCATACATAGTGACAATGGTCGTCATACAAGGCACAACAGTTCCAGATGCTACACGATAAGAGAACAAACAAAAAGAGAAGGAATTTTACTGTCTCTTATTTCCTGCTGCGTTATCACTTTGCTTCTCCACATCAATCCGGCATCAAAACGGTACCAAAACGGTATCAAAGTGAGATTGATACTTCAAACCAAGAATACATTGAAAGTGGAAACACATGGGAAACACATACATTTAAAAAATTGAGAAACGAACTGACATCGAAATGAAAAAGTTTTGGTGTGACCTAGGCAACCTTTTTTTAAAATAGCAAATGCAGTAGATAAACTGAAGACATTGAGCTGTACGAATACAAATAGCACTCATCATTTCAGACATACCTATTGAAAACAGGGCAAGTCCCAGGTAATATAGGAACGACCCTGATGAAAAGGCAATGATGACAAAGGCTGGTATCAAAATCAGCATTCCCTGAAATGAGAAAAAAGGGAAGGAATGTTAGCCCATAGCTTATGGAACTGGTCAGTCCCTGTGTATTGAAGATAAAGACCAGTTATGGTCATGCGATTGCATTGTGAAAGAAACATGTGGAATCGATCAAAAAAGGTTGATCATCTAGCATCTAGCATCTGCAAGGTTCTGGAATCATCAAAATGATAAGAAATTTGGCCCATTCTTCGTAAAGTTACAAGCACTATACACAGAAAGATGTATATGGGACTACCCTATATCTCTCACAGACCATGAGAGAAACAAATTTACCAAATATATGAATTAGTAGGCGGTTTCCCGGCAAAATTTGTATGATCACATATTAGTCAAAACATTTTTTTCACATGATTGGTAATAAGAGCTTCCATTTCATTTTTTGAGAGGGGGGCGTTTCCAAAAACTGGTCTTTACCTTTAAGCCTACGGGAAGAAGATATTTCAGTAAGTCAGCGGGTTAAACACATTTTGTTTTTACTTACATTCTTGTACTTTCAGATACACAATTCTTATCAGATTTTATTTTCTGAACTGGAAGAACATTACTGTGTCAAAAGTAAGCATAAGGAAATATTCTCATATATAAAATACTGACATACAACTTGAAATAGTTAGTGACTTAAATTAAGTCATATTTATATTTCATGCTCGTTTGGCCCTCACACTGACGCAAATATCTGTCAACAGTGCTCTTCATTTTTTGATATTCAGTACAGTTTAGATACAATTTGGTGTCTTGAAAATATCAATGAAAAAACAAATATTGTCACTTACATAATCATGCTATTCATTTATTATGTAATAACTGAGAAATAGTAAACTTTCACCTTCAAGTAATTCATACAATGTTTTACTTACAGTTAGTGCAACTCGCTTTTCTTGTCCTGGTTTTATTCTACGTACATAGCCACCTAGAGAGGAAAAATATCAAAGGTCAAAGGTCATAGGCCAACTGTTATTAAGTACTGTGGAATATATTCAGGGGATATTAACTAGTTTCTGGAATTATTTGGAGCAAACCTACCCATGTCTTTGGGAAAGAGACAAATTATCATGTACATGTACACTTAGCTGCACTTCACAATTTTGATGAGAAGATGATTAATATTTGCTTTGTGTACTTGTTATCAAATGTTCATGAACTTTTTATTCTGAGTAAACTATTTTTCACGAAAGGTCTCGTATAATGTACCCTCCCTGCTATTCTTTTAAAAATTATCTTTCACTTACATTTATCATGTACAACAATAATCCTGTAATAATGAGGGTATACACTTCAAATACAAATGATGTATGCATTGCATACTTAAATATCAGTTGGATAGTACTGGAAATATTGCATGCTTTTTCATGAAAAAACGTGGTATAGTCTCAGTAAAACGTGGTAGGGTCTCAGTAAAATGTGGTACGGTCTCAGTAAAATGTGGTACGGTCTCAGTAAAATGTGGTACGGTCTCAGTAAAATGTGGTACGGTCTCAGTAAAACGTGGTATAGTCTCAGTAAAACGCGGTATGGTCTCAGTAAAACGAGGTATAGTCTAAGTAAAACGTGGTATAGTCTCAGTAAAACGTGGTAAAGTCTCAGTAAAATGTGGTATAGTCTCAGTAAAACGTGGTATAGTCTCAGGTATAGTCTCAGTAAAACGTGGTATGGTCTCAGTAAAACGTGGGATAGTCTCAGTAAATAAATCATACATAACCACTTTTGACAATTCATTTGAATAGGATCGAGAAGTAAGTTGTATACTATCAATTCTGTTGATCATTCATCAATATTGTTCAGACTATTTCAATATTATTACCTTGCAATGCAGCCATTATAAGCCCCATGAAGACAAACATTTTTCCCTGTTGCATACTGTGAATAAAAACACAGACATTACATCAAACAAATGAATAACAATGTGCATTCTACCTTAACAAAGGGTAGCTTAATGTTACCCCTTGTGTATAATATGAATAAAAAAAGACAGAATAAATCAAACAAATAAAATACCACAGTGCATGATTGATCAACTGGACCCTTATGTTGAAATGTTTCCTCTTATGGAAAACAAATATTTACTTTAAGAGAAAATACACCCTCGGCACATGAACAGCAAATAACAATATCAAAGGCAAATAATCCTAGATCACTTCCTCTTTCAATTTATATGTACATGTACGTTCAAACAAAGCATGATATTAACATGATATACATCTATTTACTTCAAGGAGGTCATTTTTTTTTACTGTCATTGAACCCTTTTCCCCCAAATATTTCTTCTTTTGTAGTTCCTAATTTGAGTGTTATTTGAAACGCATATTTTCTTCATGTATCTGTGTACAGGTACCATTCACAAAAGACATTAGAAACACGTATGCAATTTTTTCTCATACAATAGAAACAAAAATTTATTTTAATGACATCCTTTAGTGGTTGAGTAAAGCAATACAATTTTTCTTTTATATCCCTTTTAAAGCTCTCACAAACAGAGCAATATAAACTTTCCTGCACTGCACTATTTGCATCTGTCAGTCTTAAAGGTACTATGTCCCATTTGCAGATTTAAAAAAAAATGAAAAGGTTAAATTCCAATGGCATTTGAAAGATAATACTAATTTAGAACTTCCCCTCAAAAAGGAGGCTTGAAATTGTCTTTAAGTGGGAAAATAAAGACTATCACTTGTCGAATTGACTTAAGAGCTATAGAACCAGTAAGTAATAGTCTGATTTTCAGACCATTGTACCGAATGGTCATACATTTTATGCTGCGCAAAGATTCAATCAGTTTAATTTTGGCCGTTACAAGAAGTGGGTTATTGATTTAGACAAATGCTCATGTACCCATTACACTTACAGCTCATTTTATATGTTATTACCAAAGAAGAAAAAAGCCAGTCAGTCACTCAATACTGTCTGACAGTGAAGTCTAGCAGGTAAACAGGTTTCCTTGCATAATTTGAATATTAGGACACTGCCAACATTTAAATTTCACAGATAGAACATACATGACATATTCATAATTCCTGCAAAGTTCTACAGAATTTGATGTTGGCTGCAAAAGGGACATACAGTAGTATCTTTAAGAGACCATAGAATATTTTGCTTTCTAATAAATCTTTGTTTTAAACTTCACCACTCAATTTTTTGTTGTTCTTCTGATTCTTCTACTTTCGACTTGATGCAACTTGCCATCATGGTTGATTACCAGTAACTTGATACAAGAGAGAGAGAGAGAGAGAGAGAGAGAGACATGAAAGTCCAGAATAAAATAAAGCTCACCTAGTGTACTGGAATCGTATATGAACCAGGAATGTAAGCGTAAACTCCAGTCCAGAGAATAAGAAGAGATAGAGGAAATAACTCAGCCCAAGCTGTTGTAAAATCTGCATCTCTAAAGAGTAAAATAAAAGATATTTATATCACACAGATATTAGTCAATACCACTAATCTAATAGTTGTTTCCGTTATCAGTCTATATACATGTAATGTACTATTTTCCTATTTATTAAGCTGTCTATTGTTTCATGATGTATTTTGTAGTACAGTGCTCTCTTGCAAAGCAGCTTTTTTAGTAGTGAAGAGACTACCCTGTATAAAGAACACAGGAAATAAATAAGTAAACAGATAAATAATGGACATCCGTGTTACAGCTAGACCACCAATTGTTTTTTACACCTATGAACATTTGCTTCGGTGACATTTTCTCCAAGCTTTATTTCCTCAAAAGATTTAGGGCTAGGGTTAGGTTTGCATACGGGTTAGGTTTGCATATCTTGGGTTGGGTTTGAGGGTAGGTATAGGGTTAAAATTGCAAATAAGTTTGAGGAAAGTTTGAGGATTAAAGTTGCAAGTAGGTTTACCGGTAAGAATAGATTTAGTGTTAAGATAAGATTAAATTTATAAATTGATTTACCATAGAAAATGTCATAGAAGCCTTTCAATCGTATCTGGGGGGCGTTTCTTGAGATAAAATGATCACGAGAACGGGACGGACGGACGGACGGACGGACGGACAACCAGAAAACATAATGCCTCCGGCTACTTTGTAGCGGAGGCATAAAAATAGGATAATACAATTACAAGCACAAGAATACCATTAGCTGCAACAAACAATTTGATGTTTCTTCCTTCATTTACGTCAACATATTAATCCATGCCAGGCAGTTTTGATGGGGTCTTGCATGTATACTCACCTTTTGTGTTTGTGTTTTTGACAGCTGAAAATCTAAAGAGACTGAATGGGTTGATAAGGTTCTGTCTTTCTTGAAAGCTGTTTCCCATTGATGGGGCCTAAGTAAGAAATCAAACAAAAAATAGATAATAATAATAATAATAACATTTGCATTTAAATAGCACCTTTTCCACTAGCGCTATGATGTATACCTACATTGTACATGCAATGAAAAATCCTGAACAGTTTTAATTTGTTAATCCCGTCTAATCTAATCCAATCAGGATTTGATATATGGCAGCTCTCCTTAGCAGTAACAAAGCTTTATAAATACACAAACATCATCAGTCCACTTAAACATTTCTGCATTTCATCAAGTGAAATATAATATCGAAATTGTATTGATCAACTAGTGAGGAGAGCCTCCTACAGAAACTCTGTTTCTTTTGGTAATGCACTTGTCATTTGTAAGACGCACCTCTTGACCCCCGGGAATGGTGCGTCATTGTACCAATGTGAGTCGTACATTTTGATACCATGACGCACCTTCCGTCACAGAAAGTGACACACCATTACATTCCATCGACGCACATTTGAGTCAAACATATGACACACCATTTCATGAAAATGACTAGCCAATGACGCACATTTGAGAAACACTTCTGCTTGGAGAAGTGACGGTCCCATTGACACACCAAATGACGCAACGTGGTAAAGTGACTTACTATGACGCACATATGGGTCAGTATTGTGACGGACATTTTGCGGCCATGACGGTACTGTGCGTCGCGATTTTGGGGAACATGACGCAACCATGACGCACCATCCCCGGGGGTCAAAAGGTGCGTCTTACAAATGACACCTGTATAATCCTTAGGCATTAATAGTTGATGGCTTTTTTCTTGTTTATGTATTTATTATTGTATATTGTTTGCTTGTATTCTTTGGTATTGTTATACTCCTTTATGTTCCTGGAAATGAAATATAAAAAAATAATAATCTTAGAGATTGTTCGTGTATCTTAACACTTTCTAAAAATTCCATTAGATGATTGCCCCTGCATGTAATATTAATAATCATTTGATTAAATTACTGGATTCATACCAAGCCTCCATATACATGTATTGGTCTATATCTCATCCCTGCTCCTTATGGAGTATCTGTTATATACATATGGTCGCCAATAGGCCATACGGCAAACTCAATTGAAATCAGCTCTTTGTGATACTTGCATATCCCTATTTTGCTCCTGCTGGGTACAAATTGGCACTGTAGATTGTACATAAATGTTGTATCTCGTCAAAGGACATAGAGCTACGTATGCCTAGTCTGCAGGATCAGACTCTAACTTGACACTTTACCATAATTAGCTCATATGGTCACTAATAGGCCACATGGCAAACTCAATCATTCATGTACAGACTCTTTGTGGTCCTATTATATAGCATATCCCTATTTTGCTCCTACTGGGTACAAATTGGCAATAATTGCAGTATGTCGTCGAAGAACATAGAGCTATGCCTAGTCTGCAGGATCAGACTGTAACTTGACACTTTACCATAATTCCAATAAAAGCCTTGAGCAGAGCCTAGTTCTGTCTCTCTCTGTGGCTGTGTCAAATACAGATCATAGGGAGTATGTCATCAGCAAGGTACATATACATTAGGGTGCTTTAGAAAGGAGACGGAACGCAAAGAGGACGGGATAATTCACTCAACCGAGATCAAATAATGTACCGTAATTAACGGTGTATAAACCGCACCTTTTTGCCGCCGAAAAAAAATCAAAGTCGGGGGGTGCGGTTTATTCACGGTACACCAAAAATTATTTCATTCACCTGATAAGAATAATAGTATTTCAATACCGGTAGACAGAATCCGAACTGCATACATTATTTGATCTCGGTTGAGTGAATTCTCCTGTCCTCTTTGCCTTCCGTCTCGTTACTAAAGCGCCCTAGTATCACAGTGCAGACACTGTTACACACAATGACTGACTAGGGTGTGTGCCTATAAACTAAGCTATAGGTATGGTTTTCACCTGAAATGTTGGCCAACAGGCCAGTGACAAATACACTAACTGCACATACTGTACATTGTAATACAGGTACACATAGGACATTAAAGTTTGAATTACAGACTAATAGGTACATACAATGTACGTGTACAATGTAAATACATTGTTGAACTGGAAAATGTATGAGGTGTCATATGAGCATTGTTCAGAATCATGAAAGGAACTGAATGTTGAATGTTGAAGGGCAGGTCCAAGCTATTGTCCCCTCTGGGGGTCAAATTTCATCTTTATATATATTTAACAAACTATACCTCATTTTAAAGCTGAAACTATGAATTTTATGAATCTGATAAAAAAAATTAAAAATTATCAAAATACGAAGAGTGCCAAGGTCACGAACTTCGATTTGTATTAATTAGCGTGACGTACGGGACATTACATTTTTATTTTTGTATCTCATTTGAATTATTTGTTTAAAATTAAATATCTCAGGACTTGAAGACCATCATGCTAGAAAATAGGAAAAAAATACAAAAACTTTCAAAATTAATTAATTATGCAAATGAGGTAGGTTCCAAAGTGTGATGTCCCGTACGTCACAATTTGATCATAATTTGTTTAATTTTAATTATGAAAATAATTTTTTTTTTTAAAGATATTCTAGGAAGTTCTAATTTAGATGAATACCTAACAAAAAATAGGTTTAACAAAAATTTCGAAAATTCTGTGTTGATTACATAATCAAATTAAGAAATGTGACATATGGGACAAGTGTGTGACGTACGGGACAACCCCATATAAAACCAATGCGAGATGTGAAAAAGGAAATGACCAAAAGGAGAATATATACTGTGTTAGGAAACTTGTTGTATACAGGGATATATGAACATTACAACTGGATCCCTTCTAGGAATTTACTTGTTTGTACTTTTGTTGTTGTTTTATGTAATTGTTGTTAATGTAATTAGTCTTCAAGCCAGACCCCTGGTATTATCAACTTTGGTATTTTGCCAGTTGATGTCTCCAACATTGGCAGGATGCTAAATACGTAAATCATAATAGTGTACTAGTTCCTGGAATGAGTCTAATGAAATTATATGGTAGTGGATGCACCAGAAGCTGGCTTTTACAACTCATAGATGCTGCAGGTAAGAATAGCACATGTACATGTATGCTATCAAGCTCTCCATGTGAGGTTTTTTTTTTTAATGTCATATTTAAATTTAAATGTCATATATGATGGTAAAGGATTACAGCATGCACTGTACATGTTATGGAGCCAGCTCGGGAATTCTGATCTCCTAAAAACTAAATCATAACTTTTAAGGAAGGATAGCCTTTTTGAGTATTTCACACTCTCACCCACTTAAGATTTTTATCACTTTTACACTCATGCATTTTTGTTGATTTTGCTTTAATCTTTTGAATTGTGGAAAAGGTCACACAAACCTTTAGGGTTTTAATTTCTTATATCTGGTGGTGTTAATAAGATGTTTTAATCAATACGAAATACATTCAAGATTTATATTTTTGTATCCATCTTTCACAAACATGTAGGCTACATTAATGTACATCAAAATTCTTGAATATATGACAGCAACATATTCATGTTCTAATCTGTGATAAAAGGATATAAAAAAGACAATATGTCCAGCATTATCTTTGAATTCCTTCAAAATTCTATGATATGACTATCAAATAATTCAAACAAGCTATGAAGAAAAGACTTCATATTTTTAATGTATCTTTGTTCACAAATACTTAGAACAAAAGAAATGTTCTTTGACAAAATATGATGTGTCGAGTGTGCCCCTGTGTTTCAAACAAGTTTGAATAAAAAATTTCAAGTTCAAGTTCATCTTTTTCATTAATTATTGTTTAAAAACATTTTGCAATGTTGAATGTAATGGATAAAAGAAATGAGAAAAGAAGCATGACTGCACATGATCTAGGGTAAATGGAATAAAAATGGTAATATAGTGTGTATGAATATTAATTCAATTTGTTTTCTTTGTTAAAGTAATATTTGTATTGATTTACCTCACAGATGATATTAAATGATGGTCAGAGGATCTAATTGGGTTCTAAAACACTCTAATTGTCACTGATTTTAGTTAAAATTGTTCACATTTAACAAATTTTGACGAAAATTCTCCATTTCAATGCATTTTCCCATAGGGAAAAGTTGTCCCGTACGTCACGTGTCCCGTACGTCACATGCACACATTTATGTTTTGGTATATTACATAATAACGAAAGGTCAGAAAAATATGGTAATAGTTGTGATTAATGCTTGATTCCATAATGAATTAAGATATCATTACCATAAATCTCATAACTTAATAAATTCAGAGAACTTTTATGATAAACTTATTTTTGAAAAAGTCAGAAATTCTCTGGTCCCGTACGTCACGCAGCACATTAATTACATTAAAAATTAATTTATGAATTGGTCAGAACTAAAACTTTCCACAAATGAACTAGCCCATAATAGCCACAGACTCATACCAAAAGATAGTCATATAAATAATGTCATCCATTGTTATTTCTTGTTTAAAGTCTCTGAATGTCCCGTACGTCACAAAGCAAATAGCTTGGACCTGCCCTGAACTGGAAAATGTATGAGGTGTCATATGAGCATTGTTCAGAATCATGAAAGGAAGTGAATGTTCAATGTTGAACTGGAAAATGTTTGGGGTGTCATATGAGCATTGTTCAGAATCATGAAAGGAAGTGAAATGCTTAAAGAGGAGGAATAATAACAATGGCTTGTGCTTACCCTCTTTTCCTGTGGGAGTGTTTCCTTGAGGAAGGCGAAGACAAAGAGGAGATCGGCTATGGATAGGGTCAGGGCTAGCAGAGCGGGTGTGACTGCCCACGCCCCATCGGCGAAGAGCCCTCCTTTGGTGGCGAAGTAAGCCCCAATCATGGGACCGACGATGAAACCGACGGAGAATGCAAGACCAATCATAGCCTGTGTTCAAGAAAAATGATAAGACTTTTTGTTTGAGCCTTCATATTGAGGACGTACATTTACAGTACAAGAAATGTAAAGAAGTCATAACTGTTTTTGAGCATGCTGAGCAGAAGAATTGATAATTACTAATAACAGTCCCCAATATACACTATGAACATGACGGACAAAGAAAGAGGACAAAATATACAGTTCCTCATTCTACCCTCAACAATTGCTGTGGTAGACAAAGGAATATCCCTTCACTGCTATTATGTCCAAATGTGTAGAACAGGTGAATATGCATGTGACACCTATTCTATACATTTTTACATAATAGCAGTGAAGAGATGTTCCTTTGTCTACCACAGCAATTGTTGAGGGTAGAATGATGAGGAACTGTATATTCCTCTTTCTTTGTCCGTCATGTTCATAGTACATATTCAAATGTTTTGCACACCTTTTAAACAAAGGTTCTTCTTGACAACTGCAAGCTTGCCTGATGCTTGTCTGACATAGCAACAAGTCATGTAAGCAGTCTGGGTTCCAAGTACTGTAGTTCATTATTAATAACAGGTTAATGGACTAACTCATCACTACTGTAGGTCCCCAGGAAAGAAACATCCATAAATTTGAATGTACATTTACATGTACATGTATGTTAGTAAACCTGTCTATTATGGAACCAATGGTGAAACCTACAAAGAAAGCAATGGGTAAAATCAGTTCAAACCGTCATATAAAAAAACACAAGAGAGAGAAAGAGAGATGGAGAAGTCTGAACTGACCTGAGGGTGGTGAAAAGATATTAATTTCTAAATTAAAAAAAAAAAAAAAAAACACATCACAAATAGTTGGTCTTAATCATAGAACCAACAATAAAGCCCATAGCGAATGCAAGGCCAATTCGAGACGGTTTCAAGAGCGATGGGTAAAATAGGTTTAAAACTTAATACTACCGGTAGATTTTTCACTGTTTTTATACAATAGAAATGTAAGATCCAAGATATTGTTGTATTCATTGCTACCAAATGAATTGATCTCTGTTTATATCATACATGTGCGATGATACATGGCGTATCCAAAGTTCCTATGAACTTTGGTTGGACCCCTTAATTTGGATAATGTGCAACATAAGACAGTTTATATCAAATCTTCAGTTGGCAATGAGAGATTTGCAATCAACAGATCAAATAGTTGTATGCTCTAATCAGATTAAAAATTGATTGTTTCTCTCTTAAATGTAAAGACCAGTTATGGTGCAATCACATGACCGGTCATGCGATTGCATTAATTGTGAAAGAAACGTTGTGGAATCGATCAGAAAAGGTTGATCATCTAGCATCTAGCATCTGCAAGGTTCTGGAATCATCAAAATCAGGCCTTAAATTAATCGACGGCCATCGACGGCCAGGCCGTCGATGCCCCTATGACTGGCCGCGGTGCCCTCCCAAAAAAAGATAAATTCACGGCCAAAAAGGCCGTGCCCTTTTTTTCCAACTGGCCGACGTGCCTTTTTTTCCAACTGGACGTGCCCCTTTTTTTTTAATTTGCGCACATAAAACCACCAATTGCGCCCATAATCATCTAAAACTAGACGGCAAGGCGCAAGTGTTTTCCGTGAAAATGCGCCCATAAATTATTAGAACAGTAAAAATACACGAATCACGAACAGTTTGCCGCGCCCACGAGCTCTCTTCTAGCTTCGTATTTAGTGCAAGTGCCGTGAAAATGCGCCCTTTGTTATTATATAGGCAATGCGCTAGCGCACGTGCGATCGCATGATATGCATATGGTGCATGCTGTTGACGCACGCACGTACAAATTGAAGGCCAGGATCAAGAAAACAAATCGTCAAATGGAGAAATAAACAAGCATTCAAATAGTCATTAGAGATCTGTCGAGGTTTGTTTGTAGGTCTAGTTTATTATTTTATCTCAAATAGAATTTAGAATTATCTTATTAATAAGTTAAGAACACCTACGATGTTCTCGATCGCAGTTACTCTCATTTTGCCACCAGCCGACCTCGCTTCAAAAAGCTACCCCGCCAGCTTCCCAAGACGAACGTTTCGAGTCCCGGTAAAATTCCGAGGGTGCATCGGTTTCGCTGGCAAACTTCCAGCCCGACAGCTTCCCACCAAAAGTGGCGAGAGTGTGTGTGCGAGGAACGATTTTGGTTTCGTGAATGCACGTTACGCAACTGAGCTGAGCGTGTCACTTTCAGCTGTCGAATGTCTATAAGGACATTTTTACATCTTATTTCATTAGTTAGGCCTATCTAGACCTTTCTATACAACGGTTAAAAAGATAATTTCTTCAAATTTGCTCCTACTACTAGTACCGAGAGAGTGGCGGAAGGTTTGTGTGTGAGGTGCGATTTTGATTTGGGATACCCGGCCCGGTAAACTTGCCAAGTCCTTCTGACTTTCGATGTTTGTGAAATTGACAATTTATTTATTCATTTGCTCATCAATATTTTTAGTTACTTTAAAATACTGTTTAATGTGCAAGTTTGATGTTCTTAATCAATCTTTCCTGTTCATATTGTTAAGATTAAAAAGTTATTAAATTGATCGTTCGATCTATTCACATTATGAAATTAACATTTGTAGACTCTCTTTGAACTTATGATTAGATAAGGGGCCTATCTGTTTTTGGAAAATTGCCCCTTGCTCTGGTAAATTCCCGTAGCAAAGGGCAACTTAAAAAAAAATTGCCCCTTGCTCCTGGCTGCTAAATCTAAGGCTTGCGGGCCGCTGCCTTGTTTGTATGTACCGTAGACCTCTATACATTCTGTGAAGAAGCTGGTGCTAAAAGTCATGGGAAATTGATCCCGCACAAGTTTCATAAAATACACATGACATCTAACAAAAATAGAATCAATTTTTTTGGCCTCATACTCGATGCCCTTTTTGTAAAATATTTTGGCCTCGATGCCCTTTTTGTAAAAATATTTTGGCCTTGGTGCCCTTAAAAATATGAGGTACTCAAGGCCAAACTGGCCTTGCCCTAAAAATGACGAAATTTAAGGCCTGCAAAATGATAAGAAATTTGGCCCATTCTTCCTAAAGTTACAAGCACTATACACAGAAAGATGTATATGGGACTACCCTATATCTCTCACAGACCATGAGAGAAACAAATTTACCAAATATATGAATTAGTAGGCAGTTTCCCAGCAAATTTTTTATCATCATGTATTAGTCAAAACATATTCTTTCACATGATTGGTAATGAGAGCTTCCATTTCATTTTTTGAAATTGGGGCGTTTCCAATACTGGTCTTTACCTTTAAAAGGCCTATACAATGTACATGTAGATGAAAATCTTATTGATTCATCAGATAATCTAGGCATTATACGGGTAAAAGATAATCAGAGCCACAATTCCCAAATCTTTGCTTACAGGAGATTCATAGAATGGAAGTGGTATACAATGTTCACACATTCATATCGAAATTCAAAAGCATTAAAATTTCTAAATCTGGGTTACTTCCTCCATAATTCCCAAATAAATCTTGTGATTACATGTATTTCATAAAACTTTGTCAAAACGTACCAATAAGTATATTCAGGTGATCATTTCATCCAATTTTCAATAGGATTAAACTATGAAGTATATGTAGATAAGAGTACAGCTTGGATAAGACAAAACTTGATGAAAAATAAAACTTTGGATGACCAATACCTGGACCAATATACGGTAGATGATGAATATTCACAGCATGGACATGCATATATGGTACCATACATGTACCTCATTTCTGTTAAAAAAAAATTAATTAAATGGTGCAATATTTCTCACTTCTTGGCAATATACTCTAGAGCATGGTGGCTCAGTGGTTAGAGCACCCGCCTCATGAACGGGAGGTCGTGGGTTCGAACCCCAGCCGAGTCATACCAAAGACTTATAACAATCCCATAGGAAAGTGAAAAGTATGCCGCAGACCTGCCGCAGACCTGCCGCAGACTTTTAGTCTGCGGCAAAGAGTATGCCGAAGTATGCGGCAGAAAGAAATTTTGCTGCAGACTTGCCGCATACCAGTATGCCACAGGAACAGTCTGCAGCAGATCTGCGGCAGGATGAAATTTTGCTGCAGACTTGCCGCATACTAGTATGCCACAGGAACAGTCTGCGGCAGATCTGCGGCAGAATGAAACTTTGCTCCAGACTTGCCGCATACTAGTATACCACAGGAACAGTCTGCAGCAGATCTGCGGCAGGATGAAATTTTGCTGCAGACTTGCCGCATACTAGTATGCCACAGGAACAGTCTGCGGCAGATCTGCGGCAGGATGAAACTTTGCTCCAGACTTGCCGCATACTAGTATGCCACAGGAACAGTCTGCGGCAGATCTGCGGCAGGGCGAAACTTTGCTCCAGACTTGCCGCATACCAGTACGCCACAGGAACAGTCTGCGGCAGGTCTGCCACAGGAAATCCCATTAAAGTCTAATAGGGCCAATTGAATACAATCATCTCATGCATATTCATTATTACTTTACACGTGTGACAGAAAAATACATTTATCATGATTTGTTAAGCAAATTAAGACAAAGCACATCATTTTTGTGATTTCTATTTTCCTTTTGTCATTATTAACCAATAGATTATTTTGTCTGATCATGTTACAATTACATTCATGTTTAAGCAATAGATATATTGATTACTAACCAAGAAACTATGATTACTAACCAAGAAACAATATACATATTTAGTATATATATGTGTACGAGCCTGTGTCACTTTAAATATTACTCTTGAATACACTTCAAATGATCAATGTGATGAAGTTAATACAATTGAGAATAGAATATACCTAATTGGTAATATCGATATATATTGGTATTACCTAATTGGTAATATCGATATTGCCAATATCGATTATGAAGTATCAATCAGTTTATCACTGGTTCTTCTACATGCATACTTTATTGCCACGTACTGGATATGAAAGAGTATGCGGCAGGTCTGCAGCAGGTCTATATGAGATATGAATATTCATGACGAAGAGTCTGCGGCAGGTCTGCAGCAAGTCTGCGGCAGACCTGCCGCAGACTCTACATCATACTGAAAGAGTATGCGGCAAGTCTGCAGCAAGTCTGCGGCAGACCTGCTGCAGACTCTTCATCATACTGAAAGAATATGCGGCAAGTCTGCGGGAAGTCTGCGGCAAAACTAATTTGCATGTGAAAAAGATGACTGTCTGCGGCAGGTCTGCTGCAGATCTGCGGCAAGTCTGCCGCAGGAGTATGCGGCAGGCTCATTTCTTTCCTATGGGATGGGACCTTCTGCCTTCTAGCTAGGCGCTCAGCATATTAGATTGGAGAAGGGTAGTAATAACAGTTTATGTTATGCAGGGCCCGCTGGAAGAGCAATTTCAAAACTGAAGTGGCTACCCTGGGTAAATAAAACGTTATTATTATTATTATTATTAATCAAATATAAAGTTAGACTTGAATTTTGCTTACCATGCCTTTCCCTCTGTTCTTGGTTGTGGAGATGTCAGTCACTATGGTCGTACTTAGACTGACGTTACCCTTGAAGATTCCACCTACAATCCTCGCTAACACAAAGATTCCAAAGTTGTACGACATCGCCCATAGAACGTAGGATAAAGCAATGCCAACCTGTTAGATCAATATTGTAAAGGGACTATTATTAAAACACAAATTTAGACAAATGAAGACTGTCAAAGATATTTCTTATAAAGACCATTTAAAAGTAGTGCGTAGACTTACGTAACCCTTTCTGAGTGTACATGTATCTACAATCCTTGCTATTAAACATGAAGCTGCTAATGTTATATGACAACACCCACAGACAGTTACTATTTATTTCATACATTAGAATTGTATTCAACAATGTATCCTTATACTAAGCAAAATTAATCCTCAAAATAGTTTTTCCCATGAAAGATCAAACAATTTCAGTGTCAAAATGTACTTGAAAGACCAATATTTGTTGACAACTGTGTTGCCACAAAAGAAAGAAACATTGGAATCAAATTTGATGAATGAAAAACATGCCATTGTTCCTATCATTAAAAAAAAAAACATATTGTACTTTGCCATGGCCTTCTATCCATAATATTACATCTATACATGTAAATATTATAAATTCTCTAGATCAACATCATGACACATCTACTTCTACTGGTACATGTAAATCTGAATTCTTGCTAATATCTGTCATAAATATAAACACCTAAAAAAAAGTTCTGCTCTTCAAGTTTTAGGATTGATATCTCTGGTTAGTACAACCTGTATATTATCATACATACATGTACAGTATATACTTGACATTGGTTTCATTAAAAAGACTATTCCCATGTGTATTGATTATGTAATCATGGAATGTGCAGTATTAAACCTGAACATGGGGCCACATCAAAAGTGAAATGTTGCCAAATCCTTTGGAATTATCAATAGTGAAATCTTCATTGGTATGGAGGATGGATTGTGTTTTGAAGGAATAACAATGCATTTTGCAACATTTCACTTTTGTCTTGGCCACATATTCAGGGGTATATATATTCCATGATTACATAATCATTCCAAATGGGGCATTATTGTAAAGGGGAATAAACAGGCTTTTCAATGATACCAGCACCAAATATGATAAACAAGAGAAATATCGAAGCACAAATTTAAATTGCAGAACATTTTTGAGGAGATTATATTTCCATGATACACAATGAATCAGATTGGATCTTTATGCATGTAACTGGCATTACACAACAAACCAAACTGTCAGAAATCATAAATTTTGTTAGGGTTTAGCCAATATCAACTACATTATAGTAAATCATTATAATAGCTTGTCAGTGCAGCTAACAAACTTAGAATGCATTCAGTTATGATACAAACAAAAAGCTACCAGTACAATGCATTTTACGGTATATCATCCAAATACAGAATACTATATCGATGTTTGTGTGAAGGTTTTCGTTTTAAACTGTACATGTACATATGATGTAATTTATTGAAGGTAAAAAACACATGTCATTCAAGGGTTTAGAAGTAGCTGTTCATCTTGTGAAAAAAGTATTCCTACCATATGTAATCAAACAATTTGCATCCTTGTATAATGTAGAAAAACAAATTGATTACAGTGTTATGAATGAATATTAAAGTAAATATTGTTTTAAGTGATTGACTGAGAGTGAGAGGAGTATAAAACAAATAACTAGGAGTGAAGATTGTCAAATATTCTTTTATCTTCAATGAACACAATGCAGAGGTCAATCACGCTATGTACTGTATGCTTTAATCTCACACTGTAGATATACCGTACACTGTGTATAGTATCATTGCAGCAATCCATTGTCATGGTTTTGGAGAATTAAATCAGAGCAATTGTGACCTTCGGAGCTTCAAACAAATGAATAATAGATCAAAAAGAATCAATGGCCATGGTGCCAATCATAATAACATGTGTTCAGCTGCATATATATTGGGATTGATAAAGAGATCTTTCTCCATATACACTGTAGTCTGGACGATTCATTCTGCAAAAAATCCATACATAACACGAATGGTATCATGAATTGAAATACCGGTACACAAAAAATATAATGCAAAAGAACTGCTCTGTACAAATACATGTAGATCAGCTCTTGCATTAAGTTTTCAAACAATAAAGTTGTGATCAGGCATAATCTTTGGGCTATAGTTTGTCACAGATGCAACGTTGATAGCTAAGTTATCACAGTTGAATGCACAATCCGTTTTTAGATTTTGAACAAGACTATTTAGTATTTCTTAATTTGTTATAGTTTGGATGTTTGTCGACGTTGGCTTTTTTTATGGGATGTCAACTCGAAGTAAATGTACATTATGTAGCGAGACATTGATTTCATGGCTTTTAACTTGGAGGAGTAAGCTACAAGTACATGTAGGGATACAGACTTTGGCAAAATACCTGGGAAGACATGGACACGGATAGAACTTATCTCTGAAAACTCCAGCTGATAAATTATCAATATAAAACAGTATCAAACAAGAACTAACCAACTTACACTGTACATGTACATGTACATGTACATATTAACAGAGCCTGTAAAGTCATTTACTCACCATGGTAACGAGCATGACTGACCGCCTCCCATAGACATCGGATGCAGCTCCGATCACAGGACTCGTAACAAATTGTAAAAGTGAGAAGAGGGACCCAAGTACTCCTGATGAAAATGAAACAAAATATAAGACGGTGAATTTATCATTACAGATATTGTGATTCACACGTTTCACTGACCTGAAAATTATCTACATATATGTTATTATTGAAGCTTGGTATAAATACATTAAATCTGCATGCATTGGCCATGTGTTTTAGTGTATTTACAAACATAAAAATATGAGGGTCTGAAGTTACCATTGTTGGGTCTATGTGTGCCACAGCCTTGACTTTTTAATATCGGGAAAACAAACACTGCAATTTTCAAACATGTAAGACATTGTCAAATTAAAAATCTTTCTTGTCGAAACATTTCTATTATAGCGGTATGTACATGTATAAGGTTAACAAGAGACCCCCCCCCCCCCCCCCCCCCGAAGGAAAACAAAAATAGGACAAAAGGTACATCTTTCAAGTAAAATTAAAAGTCTCTTCAGCCCTCCAGACTGAGAGGTTTATTACATATTTCTTCCTATTAACTGAAATTTCACATTGACAACAAATACGGCTGTAACTTTTCACCACTAACATGTTTCCTATTATTTGTCAAATTAGCAATTTACCATTTGCCAATTTCTTAATCACAGATAAATAAACAATTGTTTTGTTTATAGCTGAAGACACAAAGTCCAAATACAGCTTAATATTTCTTTTTTTACATTTAAAATATGAAAGTATAGTGTATAAGTATTAGATGAGCCTTACCTCCAAAAAGAACTGAATTGTATTTTTTGGTGTCAGGAATTTGTAGAACCTCCCTAAACTGATCTACACTGTGATGTAATGATGCGTACAATCCACTCTGTACAAATAAATCATATGAAAAAATTTGATTAGATAGTTTCTTGGTAAATCAATAAAAATCATAAACATTTGGAATAAATGGAAAATACAAGATAGTTTATCGATGGTGACTAATGTAGGAGATAAATGGTATTAAAATCTTTGAATCTGAATCGTTTTCAATTTATTAATCATACAAAAGATAGGACTTTGAACAATTTAAACAAATACTACAGCTGTATAGCAAAAGGTATTACACATTTCTAATTTTCTATGACATACCAAAAGCAAACTTTTGGTTTATCACAGACATCCTAGTGATCCCACTTCCTTGTGCTTCTGTGTTATCATCATGTAACACGATGAGATAGCAATCAACTGAGTGCAAATACAGTCAATTCATATCCTGTTTGACAAATATGTAGAGAAATAGCTTCTGTGCCTGGCTGCAGATGTAATTTGAGCTTTTTTCCATCTTGTTTTCTTCATTCATCTTCATCTAAATTATTCTTCTCCTCATTCTCCTTGTTTTTTTCTTCCTCTTCTCCGCTTCCTCTTTTCCTTTCTTCTTTTATTTTTTCTTCAATGACAGATGAGGACACATGACCCCAGTTAACAAGATCTCATTATTCTCCTGATTTTTATTGTTTTCCTTTTCTTCATCTCCCAATCCTCCTCCTCACCCTACTTCTTCTTGTACTACGTCTTCTTTTATTCTTCATCCTCTTCTTCCTCTTCTTCTCTTTCTTCTTCTTCTGCAAAGGTAGGGCAATACAGGATCACAGGTCCTAAGCCGAAAACCACAATATGCTATTTTTACAATGCCCACCCCACCCCAGCAAAGTTTAGAGACCTTCTTTTTTTTAGTACGTTGGAGGCCCGACTCTGCCCCCCCCCCCCCCCTCCTTCCATTCAATGTGCAAATAAGCAAGTACCTCATCATGTCGTCCATAATAATCAAGCAAGGTTGGGAAGAGTGGTAGGATCATTGTGAAAGCCAAAAGATCCAGGACCAACGAGATGAAGATAATGCGAACCATGCCATGAGTTTTCGAGTTCTTGGTCTCTGACCCTCCCTCCGGCTGGTCGCCGACTTCAGCCGGTTCAGGATATGATGTTCTTCTGGTGGACACCATAATGAAGTCTGGGTTACTGTCCTTTTGTTCTTGCAAATTATGGGAAATCTGCTGTGGGCTGGATGAAGAAAGAAAGAGAGTGGATAAAGCATATTATTCTTGACAATATTCTTCTAGGCTACATCTGGATACATCTGGATTCATCAGAGCTTGGTGGAGAGCCTTGTACATGATAATAGAAGTTTATGGCGGTGTGACCAAAGTTCGCGCGTGACCAAAGTTTGCTTTCTCAAAAAATCGGTAAGATTTCGAAAATCTGATATCACCAATGGAAAGAGGGTCATAAAATTACCCAGAAACGAAATTTTCTTTAGAATTGGGTGCGAAATTGTGAAAATATTGACAAAAGATCGGCAAATTTTGCAGTTATTTGCGTCCGTTCCGAAAAATTATCAACTTACCGATAAGGGTCTGGAAATCTTCATTTTGAGATCAGAAATCCTCAAAATTGTAAGTAAAGAGTGGTACTAACTGATTGTACGATATCTTGTCTTGCAAATTATGATATTACCTTATTTTTGATGGATCGCATTTTTTGATAAATCAACTGTAAACCACCGTGCGTGAAGTTAGGTCTCATTGTTTTTATGACTTTTTTAGATGCAGCGCGCACGCACGATCGGACATCGAATTTTTAGATCGCGTTATCTCCGAAATCCTTCGACGGTAAATTTTTCTATTTGAACCAATCTGTAGTAAAAAAACTTTGCCGTCCATTTGGTAATAATTGAAATAAATAAAGTTGTGTAGAATGTGAGAAATCATAGATCGAATATCACATTTTGTAATATGTTCTATAATGTGCGCGAACTTTGGTCACCCCTTCATACATGTAGCTCGATCAGCTCACAAGTCAAAACATTATTACTTAGGGTCTAACTTAGTCTTAGACGTCTAGATAGACCTGTTAATTATTACTACGACTAGACCAAGATAACATATTATTCCATAAAATTTCGCGAAAATGGAGCCGACGTCAAGCTAAAAATTTGATTAAGCTCAAGGTCAGTAACCTCACTGGATTAAAACTAAATAAATCAAGCAGCGCAGCTATAGATAACTCAACTGTTGCAATTCAGCGAGAAGCACGAGAGTTGCGGACGGAACCACTCACTTAGCTTTGGGCCGGAACCAGCGGCCTAGAATACAATACACAACCGTCGCAAGATTTCCTCGTCGTAGACTTTTTATTTGAGCAAAATATATTGTATTATACGAAAACAAGACAAGAATTACATAAAAATGCCAGAAATAAATGTTAAAGAGCAAAAAAAATTACCTTTTCCAACTGTCAAGTTTGTGTTTATATCGTGAAGAAGCTGTCCAAAAGTTTCTCCTCGCCTCAATCTCGTCTCGCTTGTGTCAGGCAGTTCCGTGTTTTTCATGCAGTGCTAGCTAGATAAACCGGTACCAGGTACCGTACGTACGATGAGACTGCAATATGCATGCATGATTTATGAAGATGATTGTTTGTGTATAAATTCCGCTCGCGTTATACAATGCGTCCCAAAAAAAACGAAACCGAGAATTATCAATGTTTTATCCCAAGTTTTATCATAACTTAATCACAATCAGACGTGGCGCTCCCTGGGGGGGGGGGGGGGTACCCCAAAAGTGCCCCTTTTTACATAGGAAAAGTGCCCCTTTAACTTTGTAAGAAGCGCCCCTTTTTACAGAGGAAAAGTGCCCCTTTTACTTTGAAAAGTGCCCCTATTAATTTGTAAAAGTGCCCCTTCCCCTTTCAAACTCTGATAAATCCCCCTTTTTTTTTGACACGTACCCCTTTTCCTTCGACAAGTTCTCATTTTCCTTTGCAATAAGTGTCCATTTTTCATTCTCATAAGTGCCTTTTTTAATCTCTAGTAAGTGCCATTTTTCAGGTACGAGAAGCGCCCCTTTTCACTTTTGATAAGCGCCCCCTTCACCTCTGATAACTGCACTATTCACATCTTAGAGGTGCCCCTTTTGCTTTGACAAGTGCCCCTTTTCCTTTCTAGGAGTGCCCCTTCCCCTTTTAATAACTACTCCTTTGTTAACTCGGATAAGCGCATCTTATATTTTTACAAGATTGTGCCCCCTTTCCTTTCTAATGAGTGCCTCTTTTCCTTATGATAATTGCCCCCATTAAAAAATCCCTTTCCCCTTCTCATAAATGCGCCTTTTCATTCTCATAAGTGCCCCTTTTTTCCCTCTTGTAAATGAACCCTATTCAATTCTGAGAGAAACTCGTTTTACTATGACAAGTGCCCCTTCCCCTCCTGATAAGTGCTCTTATATGATACAATATCTTATATATGATGTGTAAATAGAATTATAGAAACAAATATTGAAATAATCCCTGATAATGTAATCACAATATAGGGGTTACGGGTATATACCAATGTCTAAAAAATTGTATATTTTCGCTTTGAGATTTCCCTTTGAAGGTGCCCTTTCCCCCCAGAAAGTGCCCTTTTTTGTTGGTGCCCCCCCACTTTTAAAGTCACTCCGCCGCCTCTGATCACAATTATAATTAATAAATGACACATATTTGTAAAGCTTAGATCCTCTTCTTTCATTTGATGCAACTCATATGATGCATATTTTACGCATGAGTGATTAAAATCAATTTCAGTTTCTGCCCTTTCATAAATTATGACACCTCAATCAGGAAAAACGAGCAAGGAATAACAAAGGCATGCATTTCCATAATTTTATTAAACGATTTAGCGTTTTCACTGGCTGCCTGCCGTAGCAACAAACGGAATTGACAAAATGACGATCAGCCATAGGCATATGCGAAAGACTTCATGCATGGCTGAATGTCAACGAAACGGAGTAAATTAAGCTTGTTGCTACGGCGGGCAGCCAGTAAAAACGAATTCGTTTAATAAAATTATGGAAATGCAAGCCTTACTTTAAACAAACAGAACTTTGTAATTCCTGGCTTATTTTTCCTGGTTGAGGTGTCATCATCAGTGAAAGGGCAGAAACTGAACTTTTTAGAAATGTGATTTTCTCTTTGAAATTCAGATACCTTCCGCCAATTGACTTTTTGCAGGCCCGTACAAACTATGGGGTTCGGGGGGGGGGGTGTCCCGCGACCCCCCCCCCCCTTCATTTTTTTAAACATTAATTATTTGCTGAAGTTTAGGGGGTGTGTTGATTTTTAAAAATTGTACTCAATACCCCCCCCCCCCCCCCCCCCGCTTATTCGCCGCTAAATATTCCTCGGGCTCGCTCCCTCGCAATGTCTCACTCTCACCTCTGACTCAAAATTGCAACCCTAAGAACCCCCACTTAAAAAAAGTTGTACGGGCTAGATTTGATTCCTCTCTTCAAATAGATTTTAATCACTCATGCGTGAAATATGCATCAAATGAAAGAGGAGGATCTAAGCTTTGAAATATGTGTCATTTATGATAAAACATCGATATTTCTCGGTTTCGATTTTTCTGGGACGCAATGTAAAGGCCTATGGCAATCAGTTTCTGTGTCATATTGTTTTCTTTCCTACATGTATTATGAACTTTGATTTAAGAAAATTATTTGACCTCTCTCTTTTAACATTATTATATTTATTAGTATCCCTGTATTTTTAGTGTGTGACTATACAAAAGAAAGAAAAAAATTAAAAAGATCTGCCTAAATTTGGATAATTATGTGAGCCCCCTCCCGCAAAAGCTGATTCTCAAGTATTGCTTCAGATATTGATTTTCTATGGTCTAGCTAGTGCCCCCTAAAATAATAAAAAACTTTATGCTTGCTTGTCACTTTAATTTGTATGTAGATGATTGCCCCTACGAGCTCCCCTTCTAACAGAGACATTAGCAAATGCTTCCTAGTTTGGGAGGGGGTCAGAACTCCCTCTCAGACCCTTCCCTCGCTTGGTCGCTCCGCTCCCTCGCCGCTAAAGCCTCGCTCTGTCGCTTCATCGTTTTACATATTATATTTCACCCCATGCCATTTTGTGCCCCCCCCCCTGTAAGAAATGCCTGGATCTGCCACTGATGACCATACCCCTTGAGCTCCGGGGGCTCCGGCCCTTGACCCCCGGAGTTATACATTTAATTAAATATAACCAATGAAAAAGCACAATAAATAGAGTGGTTCTCTGACTGCTAAAAAACAGTAGGAGGAGCCTAGAGCCCCGCAAGAATGTTCGATCCCTGGAAAAACAGTCTAACATGTTTATCAGAAATAAACACCTGTAGGCCCTAAATATAATGGAGAAATTCAAGTCCAGGGGTTGTTTACCCTTACCTGGCATGCTATCAAGGACTTAAGATGTATACAAAGTCAAATTAATAACCATACAAATGATCAACCTAATTAATCCGACTCCTCTATTGCTATAGCGCCCCCTTTAGGTCAATCAACGTACCACTATACAACGTTTTCTGAATTGTAGCGACAATCGTTCGCCTTTGCTGCAGTATCAATTATTTTTTTCAGGGCTCATGATAAATTCGTTTAACAGTTGATTCCCCTCTGTTGATTATTTTGTTCGGATTATTTGGCGGGGAGAGATAAAAGTGAACAGTCTCACGCTAAACGACGTTGTATTCTTAGTTTATTTGTTCATCGTCTCTACAATTATGCTCTTTGAATAAAACAAAAACAGCTTTTATTGTTAGGCTTCGTAGATAAATGATCATCATGCAGCTAGTACCGGGTCTAATAAATTAAAGAAAACTGAATTTGAACCGGACCATAGGCTACACCCCCTCCCCCTCTCTCTCTCTCTTTCTCTCTCTCTCTCTCTCTCTTGTCATCAATTGCCCTTCTTTTCTCTCGGTTATTTCCTTCTTGCCATGTAATGTGCATGCATGTGTAGGCTATGCCTCGATCATAGAGAAAATAATTACTGATATCGCTGAAATGATTCTTCTCCTTCCCCTTCTTCTTCATCTTCTTCTTCCTAATAGTTTTTTGCTTAATTTCAAATGATTACTCTCTGTTTGCTATAAGGTATATCGGGTATAATAATCTGTCTGGGTGCCATTATAGAAACGCTGGGCCGTTATAATGAAAACGAATCAAGAAATATTGGAAGTTTAGGGAATATTATGATTTTTCAACAATATGAAACAAAATAGTAAGCCCCCCCCCCCCCTTCCCCACTCCGGGGTCGGAATGACCGCATGCGTGTTACCAAAATATACGGGAAAGGGGTACTTTTCGTTCGACAAAGTCCGGCCCGAGAATTGTAAAAAAGGGGGTGTATTTGACTTTCCACCCGGAGATTTATTTAAAAAGGGGGTGTTTTTTCTTTTTTTCTCTAATCTCTTTATTCCGAATTTAGGGGGGTACATTGAGCATTTTTTTTGGATTTAGGGGGGTCTCCAAGGCAGGAAAAGCCCGCTAAAAGCCCGCGAAAGGGGGGGGGGGGGTTCGGAAATGTTGGCCGTCCTCAGATAGGGGGTGCTTTCAAAAAGAGGGAACAAGCATACACGTACCCTAAATAACACTGTGTGGGGTGGGGCGGGCAGTAAGCATCTACCACTTTCAGATGTCTGTTTTATTATGATTAAAATTTGAGTCATTTCAATTAACAAAAATATTTCTAAGTATTTTTACATTCCCTCAAAAATGCCGTCAAAGGTAACAAAAGATCGACGGTCTTGGCTGGTCTGTTACTGGTTGCCACTTGCCACACAGTACGTATTGGCTATGACGTCATTTTTCAGAACGCCATTCGTGTCACAACGATATGCATGCAATGACGCCCGTGATTCTACGTGTCAAACGAGCTTCTCTCGGACTATCCAGAGCAATTTGTAATAAGTCTGTTGCTTCTATGAAAGTGGAGAAAGGTAGGGCGACAGGAAGGCCTTAAAGCCACACTGTCCTACTTGTAGCTAACAATGCCTAATCGGTGACCATTGGTCCCCCATGATCCTCAATTTGTTATGTTAATTGAGAGCTGAGTTGATGAGATAACCACCTGTCCAGTGACCTTGCAGGGTAGTCTAATCGCTCCTACAAACTAGTACAGATAAGCATTAACAAAACGGTCCTTCACGGACAAATTGGCGCCTGGACGGTCACGCATAAGTGATTCCGGAGAACGAAGACTAGAGAAGGGACCTAGAAAGGGCTCGCAAGCTCTGCGTGCAAAACCAATGGGATATGTGGTGCATGCTAAACATGTGGTGACGCGTGCTGTGCCACACACAACTGTCTATCATAACATAATCATGCAGAATATAAAATTACGTCTGAAATGGCCCCCGTTGACAGTTTCGAAAAATCTGGCTTCGATGTGCACTGCGTATTGCACCACCACCCCCCCCCCCCCCCCCCCCCCCGCTCAGTGTTATTTAGGGTACGCATATGCGTGTTCTCTCCTTTTGAAA